ATCGGAAAATGCATTTTCCGATATTCCAGAAATCATGTTAGTTGAAGACCTAGAAAGCAGAAATTTAGTATGTAGGTCCGCGTCGACCACCCAAGATCACGAGCTATGGCGGATATATCTCCGCCTGTTGGGGGCGTGGCAAATCGGATAAAACTGTATCTCCTAAAGTTGAAAACCTTGAATGCTAAAATTTTGCACGTAAGCTGATGCTTCGATTCTTTAAAAATGAGTGAAAAAACAAGTAAGAAGACTCTAGTCGAGACTGCTCGACTAGGAGATACCCTGAACCCTCTAATCTGATATTCTAATCAGTCTGCACTTCTTTTCGACACACATACATACACACACACGTATTAGAATGTGCTCTGCTAAATGCGCTTGGGCTGCGCTGTAGTGTAGGTAACATTATAAGAATTTATTTGTTGAATAATTTAATTTCTATACGTACAATCTTAATGAAAGTTTTAGGGCGTAATTATATGGTGAAAATGTATGTACATTCCAAAGCAAAAGTCTCTAGTACTTGAAATACGCCTTTTACAAAGGTGAGGGTGAGGGGGTGGATATAGGGGTGGGGGGTAAATTACAACAAAAATCGAAATTATATAAAATACATATAAATCTACATTTAAAATTTGGAAGCTCTAGCTCTAAAGGTGTGGGAGATATAATTAAATAACTAGCTTTCGATAAGGTTTTTGATCGATAATAAAATATCGGGAGTAGTTATCGATATATAAAGAAAAACTGGATATGCGCGTGATATACACGGACCTAGGAAAAAAATTTCAAGTCTCTAGCTCTTATATCTTCTGAAATCGACGCGTTCATACATACGGACGGACGGACGGACGGACGGACGGACGGACGGACAGACAGACGGACAGGGCCAAATCGACTTAGCTCGTCGCCCTGATCAAGAATATATATACTTTGTGGGGTCTGCCACGCCTCCTTCTGCCTGTTACATACATTTCAACAAAACCATTATACCATGATTTCCCATTTTCAATGGGTTCAGGGTATAACAAGTAAGAAAGCTCTAATCGAGACTGCCCGACTACGAGATCCCCTGAACCCTTCAACCAACTGATATTTCAATAATTTTTCTTCTTTTTCTTTTCTTCTTGACTTTTCTTCTAGATGGACTATCTTCATGTAACTTTCAGATTATGAATATAACACAGATATGCATGTATTTGCCAAAGCACAAGTAGTATTTGAAATATGCCTTTTACAAATGTGATGGTGAGGGGGTGAATTAGAGGTGGCGGTAAATTTTAACAAAAACCGAAAATTTGGAGACTCTAGCTTTAAAGATGTTGGAGATATAAATTTATTACTGGTTTTCAATAATGCTTTTAATCGATAACAAAATAACGGGACAAGTTATCGATATTTTAAACAAAACTCGACATGCAAGTGCTATACACGGACCTAGAAAAAAAATTTTTAAGTCTCTAACTCTTATTTCTTCTGAGATCGCCGCGTTCAAACATACGGACAGACGGACGGACGGGCGGACGGACAGACGGACAGAGCTAAATCGACTCAGCTCGTCGCCCTGATCAAGAATATATATACTTTATGGGGTCTGCCACGCCTCCTTCTGCCTGTTACATACATTTAACAAAACCATGATACCCTGATTTCCCATTGAAAATGGGTTCAGGGTATAATTATATATCTACGCCTACTAGGGGCGTGGCAAATCGGACCTAAAGATATAGTGATTTTTCGAATTCTGCTATATTTTAGGCACTATTGATGCTAGAGAAATTTGATATATATACGCGGGTTGACCACCCAAGTCCAACGAGCTATGGTAGATATATGTCCGCCCATAGGGGGCGTGGCAAACCGCAAAAGTTTATATCTCCTACAGTCTAAGAGCTAGAAGCTTCAAATTTGGATAGTTAGTTACTGGTAGCCTTCTATCGATGCCCCAAAAAAAACTAGCCTAAAATGAGGAGTCTACGGCCACTAGGGTCGTGGCAATCGGCATATATAGAGCCCGAATTGCGGCATTTATATGCGTCAGCCATCTATTTATGTATTTGTACACATAAATAAGCTTAATAGATATTCACAATACGAAAAGAAACATTTTTATGAAATTTAAAAAATATATAAGTAGCCAAAATAGCAAAAATTTGCAATTTACAAAAAAGAGTTTTTCGCGGGATTTGAACTCGCACCCAAGCCAAATAGCATGTTTGTCAAAATAACTAAAATAAAGATCGCCCGCGATTCTGCTTACAGCACCACTGCGTCGTCTCAAATAACAGTAGTTATAACGAAATCACATTATTGTTATGAATCGAGCAGCTTTTCGATATTATTGCACCATCGACTACACCTTGCATCGTTCAGTTTGCATTGGTCCAATGGGCGTTGTTTGCCAGCATTGAGGCGCATTGAAGTTTGCTGGTGAAACGCCCGGTTTGTGCTGCCTTAGTGGTAAAGTGACAATGCCATTATATTTCTATCTATCTATATATATATATATATATATATATATATATATATATATATATATATATATATATATATATATATATATATATATATATATATATAAATATATATATATATTTATATATATAAATATATATGTTTAAAATTTATGCAAAATGTGAATATGACAGGGTGTTTTTTGATATGCCGCGCCCCTAAAAAGGCGTTGCATTTTTTTTTGGGAATCGATAGAGGAGGTTACCAGTAACCACTAACCAGATAGCCACAAAGATTTCGGTATACTCTTCTCTCAAAAGGAAAGAGGTGGAATCGTCCCGAACAAATTTCAATTCTTGTGCGCGGCTAAGTTATGATTTGAGAGACAATAGAGAGAGAGACTAATATTGTTTCTGGCACATCGGAAAATACTTTTGCCACGCCCCTAGTGGACGGATCGGGAAACTTTTAACACTTTATAAATTGAAGGTATACACGAGTGAATGAGTATAAAAATATATACGCAAATATGTATACATATGTGTTCAGGCGTGAACATATGAATATACGAAGATCGTATACATGCCTCCGACGCACTCAACGACTAGCAGGTAGTGCGCTGGGAAAAGATAAGGGTCACATGTACGGTCTGCTAACTGCGCAGTAAGCAGCGGCTGCGCTTGGGCTGCACTGCAGTGTGGGCAATATTATGAGAATTTATTTGTTGAATAATTTATTTTGTAGGCATACGATCTCAATGAAACTTTCAGAGCGTAATCATATAGTTAAAATGTGTGTACATTCCAGAGCAGAAGTCGCTAGTACTTTAAATGCGTTTTTAACAAATTGGGGGCGAATGGGGCGTGGTATCCAAAATCTGTAAATTACAAAATCTTTGTATTTATTAACTTTATATAAAACGCGAATTTGAAGTCTCCAGGTCTAAAAGTGTTCAAATTAGGCTGAAAAAACAATGTCGATTTTTCGATTATTCTCGATAAAATAGTTATCGGATGAGTTATCGAAAAAAATATGATAAACTTGTACTGCCTATGGTATACACGAGTATGCATGCCAAATTTCAGCTCTCTAGCTCTTATATCTTCTGAGATCCTTTTGCTCATACGGACGGACGGACGGACGGACGGACAGACGGACAGGGCTATATCGACTCAGCTCGTCGTCATGATCAAGAAAATATATACTTTATGGGGTCTGCGATGATTCCTTCTGCCTGTTACATACTTTTCACAAAACCATTATACCCTGATTTCCCATATTCAATGGGTTCAGGGTATAAATAGCTAATAGACCCACGCGGAGCCTTACAAACTCAGCGATAAGATAAGAACATGTAATAGACCAATGCTGAGCCTTGCACACTCAGCAATAGACGCACTAGATTTAAGGGTTTAAATTATGCTCAGAAGAATAAAGATCAATACGCAACTAAACACCATCATAGTCAAGTGTATTCGTTCATATGTACATATGTATGTATCTACAGTCTCAGTAGCCTGTCCAAGCCCAAATTAGTATATCTCCTACAGTTTCAGTCAACAAGTTTTTCGTTCTTTTCAACGGTTCGAGGAAATCGATATTGGCCGTAAGCGTTTATAACCTACAATATATAAATAATCTTCATTGCATACGAACGATTGGAGAGAATTACAAAATTAGAACAGAGTATCCCACAGTCGGTTGCGGACGATTGTTAATTGTTTGTGTCGAAAGTTTGTTTTATTCTGAGATCGACACAGATATATGTACATACGGATGCTAGGTCAGCATAGGACATCCGCCAGGTTCTGGTACGTCTTGTTTTGACAATTAATGCTTATACGACAATGCTTATCTGTAAGCGTATAAACCCTCATATGATATTTTTCTGAGCTGAGGGCACAAATAATTACTGAAAGGAACAAAAAAAAAATAAATGAAAAATCTTAAGTGTTATAAATTTGTACACAACAATTTTGTTTTTAATATTATATTTCAATTGACAAAAATTGATCTTGAATTCAGAAAGTCGTTTGACGAACACATATAATGACATTTTATATTAGTATATATGCTACCTTAAATAATACGTTTTATATACTGTTTTCTTTCTTCTAAATACCTATGACATATAAACAAATTATTAGATCATTCCAAATATATTATGTTGAATCGCGTACTTGTAAAACAGTAGTATAAAACATTAGTTATTATATTTAGTTTACTTATGTTGGGATGAACGATCTTATTTATAATTCATAATTCGATTTCATGCCGTCTCAGTCTAATAATTAAAAACATATTGACAATCTATTGATAGTAAATGCAGTTTCGCATGTATTAATAAACGTATGAAAGACACTTTTGCCTTTTAAGAGTTACTCTACACTGACATTTATCAAAACCCAATTTACAATTTTCAACTCTAATAATATTGTGACACCGAAATTTAATATGTATCCAATAGTGCTTCAAAATTAATTTTCCTTAAAACATTTTTGCGGGTCACCAACAAATGCCAAATTTTATATTATATATATTATGTATATATAGTGAAATCTTTTTTATGAGCTTTTTGTTTTTTTCATTTAACAATTCAGTAAAGGAGTCAATAAGATTTTGGAAGATTATAAGATAATCTACTATGGCGGTTTTAGTTTTAGGTAGTGCACATTTAATATAATTATTAGATTAATTATTAATTTAAATAAATAAATTATTAATTTGCGAATGAGCATCGCCTATTCGTTGCAAAAACGTATATCGTTATTAGCACAAATAAATAATTCTTTGTAAAATTATTTTAATATTGTAGGAATAATGTCTGTAATCGATACAGCTCAATTATTTCCAAATTGTGTGTAAAGCTTAACCTACCATTGAGATGACAAAGTACTATAATTGTTATTGGTGTAAGTAATAAATCGTTCTTATTATTTAGTTACTTCTAAATTGATTTATTCCTTTTTTTTTTTTTCTAAATATTAGATATAAACAAAACATGCGCATCTATAATACTCATAATATATTGCAAACTTAAAGGACGCCAATACAAAAAAAAATAAAATTCAATTATTACAGCAAGAATTTAAAAGCCAATATAACTTTTTTATTAGACAACGATTTCCAAGAATTCCAAAGTATAAATTTTTAATAGTTTATTTCTTAACTAACGGGAAGAGAATATTGTTGGGTATGAGATTATTTATTTTCATCTTAAATGCTTTTCAAAAACACTTTTTCAATAATTCTGCTTCTTTTTCACCATAATAATTGACTTACATAAGTTATTTTCTTACTTTAAAATAAAGTATTGATCACATTAATATTGGAAGATTTTTTAAATATGGGATTTGTAAAAATATTATCAGAGATGTCTATCTTCGGCCAGCTACATATGAAATGATCTTGTATAAATATGGCACATAGGTGTTTTGAGAAGGTTTTAGATATGTCAAGGTATTATGGCCAGACTTGAGCTTTGTGTTCATTAAAAGAAGAAAAAAGAAAATAGAACTTTACAATATGGTAGTCTCTTTCTCAAAAATTTCACTATCTTTATAGGAATATGGCAACAAATGGGGTTTTGAATAAAATCTGTATGTATTTTGTTATGCCAAATTCCATTCAACAGCGATTTGATATATAAAATTCGAAAGATGTTCTTTCCAAGTATTGTGATACTTTTTTGAAACTGCGAAACTCGTTTAAAGAGAAAGAAACATAAATAATGTATACTTTAATGGCTCTAACAACCAGTCTCAATGTAATGATTTGACGAGTGATACGAATTGAGACTGTACATGATTTATAAACCCAATAATATATTTCGTAACAAAGTAAGTAAACATATTATATTTTCTACAAGGAAATTAATAGATCGCAAAAACATTTATAGAAAGAAGAATTAGAATTAGAAACATCATCCAAAATAATTATATTATTAATTATTTGACATTTAACAATTAAATTATGTTTGCGACATACAGATAAGTCGATAATTTTAGTCATATGTAGTTCAAATGTGCTCGTTACCATAATTAGACTACGTTATAAGGTATTTACATTTAGTATTAATTACCTATTATGCTGTTGAGAGCAATATTTGATCTACTAATTACTTTAGTTTAATAAATGCAGTATTCATATTGAATCTTAGCTAAGTACATTTAACCAACTTTGTCAACAAAAGCAAATGGTGGACTGACACGCTTTTCGGTTAGAATGTAATCTAATTGCTCGGTTTTTATGATTTTTGTTAAGCTAGAGCTTGGTTTTGATAGACTCTCTGTGTTTTCCATCTGAAATTTATGGTCACTCATAGTTGAACCAATAGCTAATGTTTCAGTGTTACTTAAAGTATCCATACAATTGTATTCATGTAATCTATTTGTTATTCCTAATGAATCTGAGACAGATTCAATGCTATAAATATTTCGCCGATGAGTTAAGAAGTCAAGTTGGTCGCCCTCAGTTGATGCAAATAGCTTTATATTCGTATCAACAAATTTTTTTCTATAACCGAATTCATCCGACTCACGCGGTTTTAGTTTTTCATTGCATGAGTCCGATTGTGCAATCCGTCGGGAGATAAACTTGGCTTCCCCACAATCGCGATTAAGGGTGCCGCAGCTGGGTACACTTCTGGACATATCTGGACATTGGATTGCAGCTTTGGCAGATTTAATTGTGAGAACTTTCCGCTGGGATTCACAGTGGTGCGTTGATTTGCGTTGCTGCTTTGTGCCCGGGTCAAAGAACTTGTAGTTGACGGGTACGTTGTCCACGGCGCTGTGGGTAATTAACCATTTTCATAATTAAAATTTTTGTTATTAACATTAAAAATTCTGTTGCATAGAGGCTCCTAGCTCTAAAGATGTAAAGACATATATATGTATAACTGAAATTTATAAGGAAATTTAAAGAAATCGATCAAATTAAATTTTTGAAACAAACTTGATCTACGATTGATAGACATTGATGACATGCCTACGGACGACCGGACAACCGGAGAGGGATAGTTCTATTCAGCTATTCCTTAATACATATTTACTTTATGGAGTCTACCATAAATAATTCGTCCTGTTACATTAAAGCAAAAGTCATACAATAATTTTTAACAAGTTCAGAGTATAAATAGAAAAAACAAGTAAGAAAGCTATAGTCGAGACTGCTCGACAACGAAATCCCCCGAACCCCTCTAAGAATTTATATTTCAATAATTATTCAAGTCTTTCTGCTTACATAAGAACACACATAGGCATGCACGTATAAACACGAATGGACTGCAGTGTGGACTTACTATGGGAACTTAATTGTTTAATAACTTTTCTTGTCGATGGACTATCTCTATGATGTTCCTAACATTGAACTGTGTGTATGTGTCAAAGCACAAGTATTCTAGTATTTGAAATAGGCCTTTTACAATGGTGCGGGTGAGGGTGGATATAGAGGTGGGGGTTAAATTACAACGAAAATCGAAATGATATAAAATACACATAAGTTCACATTTAAAGTTTTGAGACTGTAGCTCTAAAGGTGTTAGAGATATAATTAAATAGCTAGTTTTCGATAAGGGTTTTAATCGATAACAAAATAACGGGACAAGTTATCGATACTTAAAACAAAACTCGATATGCGCGGGTTATACACGGACCTACGAAAGAAATTTTAAGTCTCTTATATCTTCTGAGATCGACGGTCAGACGGACAGGGCTAAATCGACTCAGTTCGTCGCCCTGATTAAGAATATATATACTTTGTGGGGTCTGCCACGCCTCCTTCTGCCTGTTACATACATTTAACAAAAACCATTATACCCTGACTTCCCATTTTCAATGAGTTTAGGGTATAACAACTAAGAACGTTGCAGTCGGGCGTTACCGACTGCGGAATACTCATTCACATCCCATCAACAATTTAGTAGTTAAGTTTCGCTCTAATACTGTAGAAAATACAGTCCGATTTGCCACCCCCTTACTTGGCGTAGACACCGCAGTTTTGGTCAGTTCTTAGAACGTGATAACGGTACCCTAACTGCAAAGTTTGAATACTTACCCTAAAAAAAATGTGCAAAATTACAGGGTATTTTTCGTTATGACACGCCCCTAACGAGGCGTACAAATTATTTTTGGGTCATCGATAGAGGAGGTTACTGGTAACTTAACTATCTAAATTTGAGCTTCTAGATATTATACTTTAGGAGATATAAACTTTTGCGGTTTGCCACGCCCCCTGTGGGCGGACATATATCCGACAAAAAATTTTTGGTCTTGGGTGATCAGCCCGAGTATATATACAAACTTTGAGGTCTCTGGCATCAATAGTGTCCAAAATATAGCAGAATTTAAAAAATCACTATATCTTCAGATCCGATTTGCCACGCCCCCAATGGGCGGAGATATATCCGCCATAGCTCGTGATCTAGGGTGGTCGACGCGGACCTACATAACAAATTTCAGCTTTCTAGCTCTCAACTAACATGATTTCTGGCATATCGGAAAATGTATTTTCCGATTTGCCTCGCCCCTAGTGGGCGGATCGGGAAAATTTTAACACTTTATAAATCGGAGATATACACGAGTATGTGTTCCAAATTTCAAGTCTCTAGCTTCAATAGCGCCGAAATAGATTGCGTTCATACGGACAGACGGACGGACAGTAAGACGGACATTGCACAAAACCAATATACTAATTCACTTTCATGAATGAGTATAAAAGCAGTGAAAAAATTGTAAGAGAGAAAAGAGTAGGTACTAACTTACTATGCAGTTGAGGTCTACTAAATACAGAAGACCTTTCTTTACCGATTCCGGAGTCATTTCTGATTTTTCTTCCATGTGCTGGAAAATAATATAAAAATTTTAGAATGATTTCAATATTTGGTATATATGGTACAGTCGAATACCTGTAATCCCTTCGTCCTCAATAAAGCTTGATATTTCACGGTTGCTAGTACGATTTTCATCACGGGCTAGTTCTCGCTCCCCACTTAGCTCACTATCACTATTCAAGCTATCGTACTCCTCTGACTCTGATTTTATAATTTTCGATCGGCGCTTTAATCGCTTTTCTGTATTTGTATTGTTGCTGTCATCAACAGTCATCATATTAGGAAGTTTGACATTTGAGTTGATTCCACCTATATTCGTTGATATAGGGCGCATTCCTTTCGACCCCGAGCTACATAAAGTATTTTCATCCTCACAGCGAGAATCGTACTTTAATGAGCTTCCCGTGTAGCTCAAAGGAATATTCCCGGTCTGGTTTTCATGTTCTGGTAAATGAAATGTAGCGTAAGGATATATGTCTTCTGAGTATTCGGGTATTCGCTCAAGTCCAGCAACCGCTTCATTCGGGGTTTGCTGGCAAGATTTGCGTACTGTACCATAAAAGTGTTCATGACTTTGAATATCCTTTCCATCTGTAGCACTACTTTGTGGCCTTAATGAATCAACATTACGTGTAAACAAAGTATGAGGATCTATAAAACATAAAGGGTTCAGCTATTTTGTTTTCTTTTTGTAGCCCAGACATAAATATTTAATACACACAATTTCTGAAGCAGATAAAAGCTCCAATTAATGCAAGAATTGTTCCAAATATTGATGTAATGATAACAGCTATAAAGTGAACATCACTGAAAACAGTTTGCTCTTCGGGCATCGCATCAAACTCCGAGTTACCGGCTAATCCAAGCAAATTCTGTGTTTCGAAATAAAACTCTTTTGTCGTGGAGCCAGCATTGTTATTCGCTGTAACACGTAGATGATAAGCAGTGGCTGGCTCTAGGTCTCCAATACTATAACGATTCTATAAAAAAAATCCATAAATGACGAAAATGAAGTGTATACAACTAAATAGTATACTAACATGTGATTCAATTTTATTTGAAACAATAATCCATTCACTAGAAGTCTTATAGTGTTTAAATTCAATACTAAAATAAAGTATTGGGCATCCACCGTCTTGCCAAGAAGACAAATCTAGGATAACTGATGTTGTATTCGAACGTATGAAGCTGTGCTTTTTCGGTGCTATTGGCTTATTTCCTATTGAAATTATTGATAGTAGACTTTAGGTGTATAAAACTGTAACATAATTATATTTATATATAATACCTTTTGTCTGCGCTGAGACAATAGCACTAGCTACGCTGGTGCCAATTTTATTGAAACAAGTCATTGTGAATTGATATTTAGTGCCGCATTGAAGGTTTTCAAGCATGTATGAAGTTATTCGACGATCAATTTGCAACTCATCCCATTCGGCGGACTCACGCCTATAGGTTAAAGTAAATCCTCTAATTGGAGCGCCACCAATATCGTCGACTCTCCACTGAATAGAGACCGAATTCTTGTGAGCTGAATTTACCGACACAATGGGAGCGGAAGGTGGAACTAAAAGAAAAATATATTTTATTTAAATTTTAGCAAACATATATAAAGTATTTTACCTTGTACAAATAGCTGATAAACAATATGATCGGAGCCTATTGGATTTCTAACAATACATGAATAATTGCCTTCATGCGACCGTTGGATATTACGTAGGGTTAACGTATTCTCTGAGTTAACTTCGAGTGGTAATTGCTTCTTGGATCGAATATTGAGTATTTTCCATTCGGCACTTGACTTGGGATTTCCAACAAAAACACATGCTAACTTAATATCTGACCTCCAATTTACTGACAAAGTTTGACTAAATGATATTATTGCGGCTGGTATTGTTGTGCTGGGTACTAGCTTAATTACTGGAGTACTTGGGCCCTGGCCCACTCTAGTTGATGCTGTGACCCAAGCCTCATATGTTTCTCGAAAATTTAAGTCTTTTGCTTCAAAATGCCTATTATGTGCTGGCAAGACTTCTTTAAGGATTTTCAGCTCCTGACCCTTTTCAAGAACTCGTATGTAAACATTGTACTTTGTAATTAGTCCATTAGGCCGTCGAGGGGGTAGCCAGCTAATAATCACCGAAGATTCCGTGTTCACTGCGGATTTGACAAGCTCCGGCGCATCAGGAACTGCTTCCTCCGTAATGCATGATACAGGTGAACTGGGAATGCCTTCACCAGCTCGAGTAAATGCTAATACTTGAACACTATAATTTGTGAACGGCTGCAATCCGTGGAGTACTGTACTAAGAGCCGATGTTATCTTTGTCTCTCGAACATTGTATTCACTTTCTAAAAGTCCTGGTTCATAAAGCAATTTATAGCCTTGAATAATTCCATGACATAGTTTCTTTGGTGGGGACTGCCACGATATTTGAATATTTTGTGCAGTGAGCGCAACGCATGACACTGACCGAGGAGATGCTGAGGGTACGTCTTCTAAAGTGTGACCCAATACCATATCACTCGGGGGACCGTCGCCTTTTATATTAAATGCTGCTACAGTAATTCCATACTGAGTATATTTCTCCAATCCAATCAAACGGAAGTCATTTAAGCCCTCTGTAGTCAAACTTCCGACCTTGGTGTGATTTTTCTCATTTTCGGGAGAGCCCTGCTTTTGATATGAAATTGTATAACCTAATAGCTCTCCATTCCACGAATCACGTACAGGTGCTCGCCAAGTAATCAGCAACTATTTACGCAAAAAAAAGATTATAATCCAGTTAAAATTTTTTCTTTAAAAGATATGCATATGTGTAAGAAAAACTAGTGTATACATACCAATACTAATGCATATCAATTAAGAAGGAATTTTATTGCCTTTATACCGACTTTTATTATATCATGACTTAACTCACCTGTTGTGGTCCCAGCGGCTCAACAGTGACATCTTGTGGTGGGGCAGACGGAACTTCTGAATCAGTTTGCACAAATAAAATATCACTTGGGGCACTGGTGCCTAGATGATTTTCTGCAAATAGTCTTATATGATACACCTGCGCCGGTCGAAGAGATCCTAGCTGAGCCGTTGTTCTATCACCAGGAAGAAGCTTTTGATTATTGTGCTCATGCCAAACATCTAAAATAAAAAAATTTAATGATCATTATTCTTTGAATATACTAAATTTTCAGCTTAAATTTTATACGACGAACAACCCAACAGTACAAACTTAAAAATTTATAATATTCCATTCTTCTTTATGTACGTAAGCCCACATTACAATACCGAAGCTATAGACTTGAAAATACATAATACATACACATAACGTTATGCTTCTGTTCAATGCCAGTTCGAATTTCAAGCACTAAAATTATTTGGCGAATAAAATAAACCTTTAAATTTTTAATATTAAACAAAAACATATTAGTTATGTTAAGTAAATATGACTTTTAAGAAGACTATATTATTAAAGTTGTGTGAGCAAATCGGAAAATCGATTTAATATATACAATATGTATTAATAATATATTTGACTTACCTCCAGCTTTTTTGTATTGCAAAATATAATTTGATATTGGCTGTGCATCCCGGTTATTACCACCTCCTCCTCCCAATATAATTGAATCCTGGTCGTTTGGTGACCACGCCAATGTTACTGATCGGCTTCCAAGATCTCTAACATGCAAGTTAACGGGAAAATTTGGAGGTTCCTGAACTTGAACATGTATAACACTTCGATCGCGCCCATACGCGTTGCTGGCTATGCAAGTATATTCCCCTCTGTCAGTTAAGACCGTTTGTAAAATAGTTAACTCTGACGAAACGCCACGAGCTAAGGGCGAGTTCTTTATATGATAACGAATATCATAGGATGGATCGATACGACTTGCTTTCGATCTCCATGATATTTCTAATGGCTGATCTCCAGTTGCCTCGCAGCGCAATGTAATACGTTCTCCACGTCGAATCGATAACTGCTTTTTCTCAACGGTAACTGTAGGGCCAACTATTTTTAAAAAAAACAATATGAAAACATACATTTTGAAAATAATATTATTTTTTAATCGAATGAAGATTCATGCTCACCATGAACAGTCAACTTAATTAAGGTACTTAGGCCCGCACCTATTCCATTGGTTGCTTGACACAGATAGCTGCCCTCATGCTCACGGGCAACCTTGGATATCATCAGAGAACCATTCGAATGAGCCATAATATTTGATTGTGAGTTTCCATTGTTTACAGCATAGCTAAGATCACGATAATCCCCAGAGTCGCCTTCATGTACATACACGTTTAAAATTAAGATCTTTAATTTGTGGGATTTCTTTTAATACCTATGGACTGCTTCCACTGAATGGTTGGTATGGGGAATCCATCAGCCTTACACGATACTGCTACTGAATTTCCCAAGATTGCATCTTGATCAGTGGGTTTCAAAGTCCAACGTGGAGGAACTATTTTTTGATTTATACAGTTACTTATAATTGGTCATTTGAAGATTATCATGCACAACAACAAAATCCATATATTAATCATGCTATCATATGTTTATATAATTTAAAAAACTCAGATTTTGTACTACTCCGTTTTCAGTTTGAAAGGAAAAAATGAATTCATTATTTAAAATTCCAAAATATTACAAATGTTTTAGGAATAACACATAATGTTACGGCTATGAATAAAGTATTCAGCTCAAAACGATTTTTAAATTGTAGTCCATCGAAGTAACATTAAAAAGAAAATGTACAAAGTCGGCAAAATTGTTTATTACAAGCAGCAAACCAAAATGAAATTATTGTCAATATTACCGAGTTCATATTAAATCGACGCATCTGCGACCAAGTTACTTTTATCTCCGATTTCAAACCACAATCTATTAACCCCAAGGACAAATTTTATGGCTATTCGTACATGCATTGAAAATATATGTAGTTATTAATCCATGCAAATTGTGCATCACTGGTAGTTCTTGGAAACCAAGTGCATGGTGCTCAGTGCAATGATCTCCTATATTTTTTATTTAGTATTTAAAAATTATGCCACATTATATATTTTCTCATATATTATTGATCCCCTAATTTCTTATTATTAGTATTATCTTAATGTAGAGCCTATAAAAAGACAGAATTTAATGGATGGTCTGGTTTTTTATGTGACACCATCAATTCGACAAAAAATTACCATTAAAATATATTTATATATAAATATATTTGTTTACTTAACTTAATTGCAAAAAAAAAATATTTAAAAAATATTTTTCTTCTTACTAATTACGAATCAAGCAATGTATATGAATATGTATGAAATTGTCTCTTAAAAATTCAAATTTTCGAGTTATTAGTTACTTTTGCCTTACACAAACTGCGTAAAGATAAGACTATATTCAACGCAAGATTTTCTTTATTTAGATTTATAGAAATGACAAGTATTACTTTGTAAACTAATTCTCTCAATTCATAAGTTATAAAACAATCATTGGTTTACTGCAATCGAATCGGATATTATAATATTCTTTAAATACAACTCTACATTCAGCCTCTGCTTCAATAACCACGTACTAAGCTAGCCTACAATTTTTGTATTAATAATTAAGCTCTTAAATAAATAAATAAAATATTCTTCAATCTCCACTTGCATGTTCGATTAACTACCATATCTAAATACCTGAAAATATATATTGATATATCGATATTTTAAAGTTGTATATCAAATATCACATTGATATATTTTCAAAACTTAATATATCATCGATACGATATTTTAAAAATATTCGACAACCCTAATTTTAACATAAAGGCTATCAGGGTAAGTAAACGTTCAGATAGATACTCGAAACTCTGGATTACTCTAGACAAAGAATTGTTCATCATTTCACTGGGGGCTGATCAATAAATACTGCCGAGCTCTTCTACGGGTAGAACTATTATTTAATATATTTATGTAGTTATTAATCCATGCAAATTGTGCATCACTGGTAGTTCTTGGAAACCGAGTGCATGGTGCTCAGTGTGGTCCATCCATTAGCAATTAAGAATAACAGTATGACTATTCTAAAAATCAAACTGAATCTTATCTACATTCAGTATTTCATCACATCAACACAGATTTCTTAGTGTATCTGATTCATGTAGACTTGTAAATAGGTATTTGATTAACATCTCCAACAGTAAAATTTGTAAATACCAGATGAAACCCTTAAACTAGGTGAATTATCCTCCTGGTGCATTGTCTACGATATTTACTGTGAGTTTTTTTTTTTTTTTTGTGCATTTTATATTTAGAGTTAGATGGTTTATTAATGTTTCTAGAAAACAATAGTTACACTTGATTTACCCGAAACCGAAAGAACGGCAGTATATTCAACAGTGCCAGCGTGATTTGCTACACTGCAAGTGTAGTTACCATTATGCCAGGAAGAGACGTTGTGAATGGACAATATGCTGGAAAATGGGGTATAATGATTGATTGTTAACGATGGATCCGGAGGTAGAAATTCTTCGCCTTGCTTAGTCGTCATGGTTAACTGTTTGCCCATTCGAACGCCCGAATTACTCTGAATTGTCACATTGTTTCTGTACCAAGTTATATTAAAGGGTTGATCTCCTTGGCTACTGGAGCACATTATCTGTGTCCGCATACCTTCAGTAATTTCATCTTCAAACGCAAAAGGAGATATACGCGGTGGCACTATACATAAAATATCAATAAAGAAAATATATTTTAAAACCTCTTCTTTAATTTCAGAATAAGCGTGAGCTGTTTGGACGTTGTTGAGAAGTGGACCATTTTCCTCTGTACAGTAAATATACTTCAATCAAATTAAATTAGACCTATACAAAATATAAAATTGGTCATATTAAAGACTTAAAATAAAAAATAAAAAATACATGCAACTTTATACGTTTTAAACATTTTTTTCACTTAGTTACTGGATTATACGAAAGACAATAAAAGTATTTTGTTTGGGTGTTTTTATACTAACTATCTACTGTATGCATGGTTTTTTTATACATATGTAATTGTAACTTTCAAAATATGTTACCGTCTACAAATAATATAAATAATCTTTTTGTAATAATAAGACAAATACGTGCATAAATACATATATACGGTAAATTTATATTATTTTTATGCACAAACTAAAAACACATAATGCTATTACAAGTACCATTAACTTTAAGCTGTGCAGAGTGCGTTACAGTAGCGGCATCATTTTGAACTCGACACGTATAGGTGCCACTTTGGTCCCTCGTCACACTTGTGATGCTGAGAGCGCTGGTAAAATCATCATTTTGGCGAATTGTCACCTGGCCGCTACTTTCACCACTACTACGACCATTGTCATTCGATGCGATTTCACTTGTGAAGGCCGACGGTGACATCGAAGATGAAAACTGCGACATTAATCCGGAGCCGGAACCCGACACAGAAGCGCCACCGGTACCCTTAAGCCCACCGCTGACACTGTCGACGGACGCTGCCGATGGCAGAGGTATTCCATCCTTCAGCCAAGTAAATGTTAGCGGCAGGTCCCCGGTGCCAATAACGCACTGAATGCTTGTACGGTCACCGACGTTCAGATCGCGTGCGAATGAGAATGGTGTAATCTTGGGTGGAACTGGATGTTTAATTTTAGTAAATATGCTTGGTTAATAAATTGATCAGACGCTGTTCTGAAAACTATATTACGAATGGTGTTTAATATGGTATATGGTATCACTTTGCACAATCAAAAGTATATTGTTAACGATTCTTCAAAAGTGCCGTCATATTCTCAAACTATCTATTTCATTAATGTATCTAGAATTGTTTTTTAGATATCTTTTATTTGTATACGAACTGAGCATATTCAAAGTTTGCAGCTCTTCCAAATAGTATAGTGAAAAGGAATCATGAACATAGGTAGTCAAGGTCGAATTCGAAACTCTGTGTATTTTTATTTATTTGAAGGCTCAAAACAAACATTTGTATTTTATAATGAATTAATGTATTGAGTAATGAAATATATTTATTGACAGCTTTTTGGCATTCATCTGGTTATTAGGAACCCTTTTTTTTTAAAATAATAATGTTAGTTACCTAAATACAGGGAGTTTGGAAACAATCCATAAAATAGAAATTTCGCAATCCTATATAATGAATCCTAAAATGAATATTCATATTTGTTGTGTTGAATTAGAAGAAAACTAATATCACAACATTTGTGAAAACTGTCTAAGTAAGACATTTTAAAAAATACAAAATTTGTAATTTAAAACAAACTTGGTGAATGACATGAGCGGCCATAAAACAAAACCTATACAAAATGTAGAAAAAAATAATGTTATTAATACAAATCATATCCCAGATTCACACCAGCGGCAAAATATTTGCAGGACAAAATATCAACAAGAATTTGCTTTCTATGTGTTTTTTAGTAGTCTTCTTGAATATGATTTCTCTTATAGAAATACGTAGCCGAAAAATATTATTATGTATTCATCTAAAAGTAAACTGAGTCGATCATATAGTATCAATACGACCAAGCACTCAGATGATATATGATAAATAGTTCCCATATCTATTAGAAATGCATTTTTTTCATATTGTTAAAAAATTCATTGTATATATGAAATATAATTTTATAGATATTAGTGCATGGTATTGGTTATCATTGCCTAAAAATTGCTGTCATTTAAAATATGGGACAACAGATGAAGATATAATGATAAATATTTTATATAAAAGCTTCAAAAAGACTACCAATAAGTACACCTGCAAAAAAAATCAGATCAAAACACCAAATTGACGCTCACCGCGAATTTAGCTCGCTTCTTTAAAGCTGTCTATGGATATTGCCTTAACAGTTAAAGAGCTTTTTGGAGCTATTAAAACATACAATTGTGGCGAATAAAACCCTGAAAGAATACCGCGCATGTCAAAAGCAAGTGCAGGTTCAAGTGTAAATGCAAGTGCGAGTACAAGGAATACCTTAGGTGGGTGCGATTTTTATGTGCATTGTCAAAGTGCGAGCGGTGCAGATATTACATAATATTAAAATCGGATATCAATACAAAGTTATGTTAAGATATAACTTATATTATGTGCTTAATGCTATAAGAATATCATATTTTTAATATTAGAATTAACATAACCTTACTTAGAATATATTTATATATATTTACTTAGAATATATTTATATGCTGGAGCAAGATACTCTGGTAAATGCACACATACACAAACAGATACACACACAAGCACCCACGCATAAACACGTATGTGAAATTAATTGCTTTATAACTTTTTTTGTGGACATACGATCTTCATGAAACTTTCAGATTATGATTATAACATGAATATGCATGTCAAAGCACAAGTCCCTAGTATTTGAAATACGCCTTTTACAAAAGTGAGGGTGAAGGGGTGGATATAGAGATGGGGGGTAAATTTTAACAAAACCTCTAGCAATAAAGGTGTAGAAGATATAATTTTATAACTGGTTTTCGATAAGGGTTTTTATCGATAAAAAAAGATCTGGATGAGTTATTGATATTTAATGATAAACTCGATATCCGCGCTGTAAATACGGACATAAAAAAATTTTTGAGGTCTCTAGCTCTTATATCTTCTGAAATCGAGGCATTCATACATACGGACTGACGGACGGACAGGGCCAAATCGACTCAGCTCGTCACTCTGATCAAGAATATATATACTTTGTGGGGTCTGCCACGCCTCCTTCTGCCTGTTACATACATTTCAACAAAACCATTATACCCTGATTTCCCATTGAAAATGGGTTCAGGGTATAAAGACGTTGTTAGAAATATATATATGTATGTATTTATCAGTGATCAGTACCCTCGCTTCTATGCGTAGCAGCGGCACAAATGTTGCTAAGACAGAGAGAGAGAGAGAGAGAGAGACAAATTGGAATGCCGACGTACATAATACTTATGTTTCTATACCATGTTATTGAAATAAATTTATTAAATCTTTGTGTTTTGATCAAAAAGTTGAAGCCATTTTTGACAACCGTAAAAAAAATAAACAAATTTTTGTATATTCCACTGTATATTCTTGATCAGGGCGACGAGCTGAGTCGATTTAGCCCGGATCGTCTGTCCGTCTGCTCGTATGTTTGAACGCGTCGATCTCAGAAGATATATGAGCTACAGAAATCTGAGTTTGAAATTTGTTTTAAAATGTCCGTATATATAGCGCGGATATCGAATTTATATCCAAAAATCGACAACTCTTCTCGCTTTTTTTTTCGATTAAAAACCTTATTCAGTTTCATGAAGATTGTATGTCCACAAGAAAAGTTATAAAGCAATTAATTTCTTATAGTAAGCGCACACTGCAGCCCATGCGTGTTTATGGGTACGTGCCTATGTGTGTCTGTGAGTGCGTATGTATTTCTTGTATAAGCAGAAAAACGCAAATAATTATTGAAATATCAGTTGCTCGAAGAGTTCAGGGGATCTCGTAGTCGAGCAGTCTCGACTAAAGCTTTCTTACTTGTTCAATTTCATTTCATTATTTGGCTCACAAAATATATATTATAATGATGTGATGAAATCAAATCATCAGATTTTAGGATAATTAGAATATAGGGTGAGGAGAAAATATGGAGAACAAAATTGAGCTTTTACAGCATAAAGAACATTTTTAAATTTAATTCTGGCTGACGTTCTGCTTTAACATCTTCCATATCTTTATATCTTTAGATCTTTATATCTTATAAAGTCAACTCATACACTATATCATAAGTTTTATCATATTTAGGTATATTCTTTAGATAACATCCAAGCATTGATTTCAAATATGTTCCATTAGATAGTAACGCCCTTACTTTTTTACGCAGAATTTCAAGTATAGTTCGATATAATGAATATCATTCGATGATAATTTTTGATAATTACCAAAATTTTCAAAATTTCTTCATAATAGTATGTAATATGTAAATTTAAACTAATTCAGAAGAACTATATCAGAAGGAATTTATAATTTGGAGATAACACTTAAATGATCGCATCCATATTAAAAAATAAGAAAAAGGGATCGTGCTGCGTACATTCAAATGCAAAACTTTTTTATGCACGTGCATTAGTATCAGTTTTATGATATAAACTTTCCTGAAAGTATTAAGATTCATATTTTAATTTAAGATAAACGCATGCATCTGTATAGAAACATTTGAAAAGGCTTCTTGATATATCAGATTCTTAAATAAATACAAGTTTATAAATAGTTATAGTTATCTTTTAAATACATAATTCTGTTAAGCAGTAGCAATCTTATTATGAATGTTATCCTGTCTCAATTATTCTGAAAAGCAATTGAATTTTAAATTCAAAATGGGGGTTTTGAATTATTATACTCATTCTCGAAGCGGAAATAACAACTACGTCTTTCTCTCCGTCGATATGTCAGTAAAAGTGCAAATCATTTAGACATGTTGAATATATACTGTCGATATCTTTAGATATTAGGGAAATAAATAGATATACATATTTTTGGTATACCAGATACCCTATTATTTAATGTGCTATAAATTTAAAATTTGGGTTATATCTAAAATATTTAAATTATTTCTGTGGGCCTCTTTTCGGAGTTCTTTGAAATTGTTTACAGTTTCGTTAGACTAGACTCTTAAGAAGTTCATAAATATATATACATATATGTATATCCACGTCATGTCATCTCGGGAAGAACTTTTAAATTTGTTCACTTTAGTATATTGTCATATATATTTCATTTGGTCCAACTGATTTTAAACCGCGAATGAGTATGCAGTCGGTATCACCTGACTGCGACATATGATTGCGACATACTATCATAAATATATAATACATAAATATATTAAATTTGGAAATACATACCCAATACTTTAACATCTACGGATCGCTGCGAAGTATAATTGTGCTTATTGCGAGCTATACATGTGTATGTACCCTGATCGGCAGCTCGTTGTACATTATCTATCACAAGCGTTCCGTTTTGGACCCGCTGTCACATGTTGCTTGGCAATCTAATACCATCTAAAGAAAATAATACTTTCTAAACAGTACTTAGCTCATTTTTTAAAAAACCATACCTTTTTCTATAAAGACATTTTCTATTGGATATCCAGCAACCGGGCATTTTAAAGTAAAAACTTTTCCAGCGACAGCTGATATTTTTGGCATATGTCTTATATAGGGCATACCTGTAATGGACCAGGACTATATTTAGAAGCCTTCTTAGAGACAAAGTAATACACATCGTCAATATTTTTATACCCTGAACCCATTGAAAATGGGAAATCAGGGTATAATGGTTTTGTTAAATGTATGTACATGTAAGAAGGAAGCGTGGCAGACCCCATAAAGTATATATATTCTTCATCAGGGCGACTAACTGAGTTGATTTAGCTCTGTTCGTCTGTCCGTCAGTCCGTATGAGAACTAGAGACTTCAGATTTTTTAAATGTCCGTATATTTAGCGCGGATATCGAGTTTATTTTCAAAAATCTTTCCGTTATTTTTATCGATTATAACCCTTATCAAAAAGAAAATATATATTCTTGATCACGGCGATCAGCTGAGTCAATTTAACCCTGTCCGTCTGTCTATATGCTTGCGCGCGCCGATCTCAAAATATATAAAAGCTAAATTTTTTCCAAAAATCGATAAGTACTCTCGATATTTTGTTATGGATTAAACACCGTATGGAAAATGATTTATAAAATTATATCTACTACACCTTTAGATCTAATATCGCCAAATGCTAAATGTAGATTTATATGTATTTTATATAATTTCGGTTTTTCTTATAATTCACCTCTATATCCACCCCTCACCTATAAATTTGTAAAAATAAGCGAATAATTATTGAAATAGCAGTCAAAGAGTTCATGAAATCTCGTATTCGAGCAGTCTCGGCTAGAGCTTTCTTACTTTTTTTGAATATATACATACGTACCATATATATTTAATCTTGCAGAATGCGTAACAGCACCAGCTCTAGAAGTCGCCTTACACTCGTATTCTCCTCCGTCCTCTGATTTAACAGCTGATATATTGACGTGGCTTATAACGTCACCAAATGTAGTGACATATTGTCCTATCATAAGTCGATCGTTCTGAAAGATATACAGTAGAACCCGGTTATAACGACTCCACTTTTAGCGAAATTTCGGTCCTCAGAAAAACTTATATGAGCAAACGTATACAGTTATAGCGTCTCCCGGGTATAAGGACGGCCCCTTGATCGGATTATACTGTATTTTCTTTTAGTGGAAACCTTATTAATGCTTATTTTAATTGTCGAATTTTCATTATAGCTCATATTCTTATCTATTATTAAGGAATACACACAAGCAAGTGTATATTGTGTGTATATCAATGTAATTATATACATATGCAGTGAAAAAATTACAACGAATTGATGACAAAACACTTAAGCATAATAAGCCGCTGTTGGAAATGTATATATGTATGTACACTCATGATGAAAATAATAGATACACCCCTTAAAATTTAACTTTATTGACTTCAATTTACCAAAACATTCTTAAATCCTGAACCCATTGAAAATGGAAAATCAGGATATAATGGTTTTGTTGAAATGTATGTAACACGCAGAAGGAGGCGTGGCAGACCCCACAAAGTATATATATTCTTGATCAGGGTGACGAGCTGAGTCGGTTTAGTCGTGTCCGTCTGTCTGTCCGTATGTATGAACGCGTCGATCTCAAAAGATATAAGAAGAAGACATAAAATGTCCGTATATATAGCGCGGATATCGAGTTTATCACAAAAAAACGATAACTCATCCCGTTATTTTTTTATCGATAAGAAACTGTATCAAAACAACTGTATGAAACTAGTAAGATGGCTCCAGTCGAGACTGCTCGACTAGGAGATACCCTGAACACTCCAAGCTGATATTCTAATCATTCTGGATTTCTTTTATGCACACGTACATACACATGCACTTATAAGCACGCGCTCTGCTGACTGCGCAGTTAGCAGCGACAGCGCCTAGGCTGCGCTGCAATGTGGGCAATATAATACGAATTTATTTGTTGAATAATTTCTTTTGTAGACATACAACCTTAATGATACTTTCAGAGTGTAATCATATAGTTAAAATGTGTGTACATTCCAGAGCAGAAGTCGCTAGTACTTTAAATGCGTTTTTTACAAATTGGGGGCCAATTGGGCGTGGTATCCTAAATCTGTAAATTACAAAATCTTTGTATCGATTAACTTTATATACAACGCAAATTTGAAGTTTTCAGGTCTAAAAGTGTTCAAATTAGGCTGAAAAAACAATGTCGATTTTTCGTTTATTCTCGATAAAAAAGTTATCGGATGAGTTATCGAAAAAATATGATAAACTTGTACTGCCCATGGTATACACGAGTATGCATGCCAAATTTCAGCTCTCTAGCTCTTATAACTTCTGAGATCCTTTTGCTCATACGGACGGACGGACGGATAGACGGACGGACGGACAGACGGACAGGGCTATATCGACTCAGCTCGTCGTCTTAATCAAGAATATATATACTTTATGGGGTCTGCGATGATTCCTTCTGCCTGTTACATACTTTTCACTAAACCATTATACCCTGATTTCCCATTTTCAATGTGTTCAGGGTATAATTATATCCGTCCGTCCGTATGAGCAAAAGGATCTCAGAAGATATAAGAGCTAGAGAGCTGAAATTTGGCATTTCAAGTACTAGAGACTTGTGCTTTGGAATGTACACACACTTTAACCATTTGATTACGTTTTGAAAGTTTTATTAAGATTGTATGTCTACAAAAGAAATTATTCAACAAATAAATTGTCATAATATTGCCCACACTGCAGCGCAGCCCAAGCGCAGCCGCGGCTTACTGCGCAGTTAGCAGAGTGCGTGCTTATCAGTGCATGTGTATGTATGTGTACATAGAAGAAGTGCAGAATGATTAGAATATCAGCTTGGAGGGTTCATTTCCAGTTCCATTTTTTTTTTAAATACCAAAAATTAATCAGTTTTGACAACATTTCCAAAATTATTTTTATCATGAGGTATGTATTCATCAGTGATCAAATGGAATGCTGCTAAAACATAAAGAGAATGAGACAATCTACAATGCTGACGTCACAAAAATGTTCCTATACCATGTTAATGGAATAAATGTATACAATTTTTTGGTTTTGATTAATAAATTAAATTGTTTTATGTTAAAGTCTATTACGAAAATGGCAACCGTAAAAAAGGAAGAAACAAGAACGTTCCAGTCGGGCGTTACCGACTGCGAAATACTCATTTACATCCCATCAGCATTTTAGTAGCTAAGTTTCGCTCTAATACTAAAGAAAGTGCAGTTTTGCCACGCCCCGGTATTGTACTTTAGGAGATATAAACTTTTGCGGTTTGCCACGCCCCGTGTGGGCGGACATATATCCGACAAAGCTTTTTGGTCTTGGGTGATCAGCCCGAGTATATATACAAAATTTGAGGTCTCTGGCATTAATAGTTCTCAAAATATAGCACAATTTAAAAAATCACTAAATCTTCAGGTCCGATTTGCCACGCCCATAATGGGCGTAGACTTATAATTTCTTTGGACTATATAGAATCATAACATTAGCTGACGTGCAAAATTTCAGCGCTCTAGCTGTAAATCTCTTGGAGATACAGTTTCATCCGATTTTCCACGCACCTAAAGGGCGGATCGGGAAAATTTTAACACTTTTAAAATTGGAGATATACACGAGTATATGTACCAAATTTCAAGCCTCTAGCTTCAATAGCGCCGAAATAGATTGCGTTCATACGGACAGACGGACGGACGGACAGACGGACGGACAGCAAGACGGACATTGTACAAAACCAATATACTGATTCACTTTCGTGAATGAGTATAAAAATTTCATGCCTCTAGCTCATATCTTCTGAAATCGACGCGTTCATACATACGGACAGACGGACAGACAAACAGAAGGACTCAGCTCGTCACCCTGATCAAGAATTTATATACTTTGTTGGGTCTGCCACGCCTCCTTCTGCTTGTTACATACTTTTAGCAAATCCATTATACTGATTTCCCATTTTCAATGGGTTCAGGGTATAAAAAGCAAAGCAAAAATCGCTCGTTCAATGAATTACACTCTAGATTTCAAATATAAATATATCCTCTAGAAATGGTAATATTATAGTTGTGATACATTGTTCAATTCGCTAACACACTACGCCACCTCACTTTTGGAAGCTGGCAAAACTCAAATAGATTCACTGCTGCAGCGCCATCTAGCAAAACTAAACCAAACTAACAGCTGATGAGATTCTAAGAATGTTCTAGATGAAGTTTGAATGTATGTGTGCACACGTATACGAATCTGTTGTAGCTGCTGCACGTGCGTTTGTTAATTGGCCAAATATTTGATGATTTTTAATTAATTTTTTGACTGAATGGAATTTAATGAAACTTTCAGCATATGATCTACATATTATATCGAATATTTGAGAAATTTAAAAAAATCATTCACAATTAGCTGTAGTGGTATCTGACTTGAACTTGAATGTTTTTATTCGATAAAAACATAACGGGATGATTTATCGAATTTTAAAAGCAAACTCGACATCCGCGCTGTATATACGGTCATCTAAAAAAAAATGAAGTCTCTAGCTCTTATATCTTCTGAGATCGACACGTTCATACATACGGACAGACGGAGGGACGGAGGGTTCAGGGCATAACAAGTAAGAAAGCTCTAGTCGAGACTGCTCGACTACGATATCCCCTGAACCCTTCGAGCAATAGCTATTTCAGTCATTTTTCGCGCCTTTCTGCTTACACAAGACACACGCACACACACAGAAACATACACACGCACACACTCACGCACACGCACACAATGAAAAATAACGGGATGAGTTATCGATTTTTGGTGATGAACTCGATATCCGTGCTGTATATACGGACATTAAAAAAAAATTAAAGTCTCTAGCTCTTATATCTTCTGAAATCGACGCGTTCGATAGACGGACAGGGCCAAATCGACTCAGTTCGTCGCCCCGATCAAGAATATACATACTTTGTGGGGTCTGCCACGCCTCCTTTTGCCTGTTACATACATTTCAACAAAACCATTATACCCTGGTTTCCCATTGAAAATGGGTTCAGGGTATAAAAACAGATAATTACTCTTATTTCGTTGTTATCGACTGAAAACTTTATCCAAAATTAGAGCTACTACGTTATTGAAGCTAGAGCTTTTAAATTTTAAATTTAGATTCATGTGTAGCTTATAGAACTTAAAATTTGCGTTTAAGTTTTTGTTTTCGTTTTAATTATATTTTCTCCAGGTCTAGCCGAACGATCACACTTCACTTTACTGCACTGCACACTGGGCGGAATTGCCAAATAAGTGGCATAAAATCGAAAAACGCATATTTCTAGCTGAAGCTTTGTATATTTTATAATTATGGCAATTTAAATATGTATACAACATTTTAAGTTAATTTGACCACGCCTACCCGAATATCCCACATATGGGAACTAAGCGTATACGTGATCTCAAATGAAATTGTAAAAGCTTAAAAAAAAGTGTAGCAATTTTTAATAGGCATGATATTTTTTAATTTCTTATATAATAAGCTAGTAAAGAAATTAACGATTTCATTAAATTGATACTTAACAACTTAATTTATATATATGACGTCAAAACTCCTTCGAACAATTTATTGTAAAATTACTACAACTAATTCAAAAGCATATCGATCAATATCATACATATCTGCATCATCAGAATCATCATTACAACTGTAATCATCAGTTAAATGTTGAATATTTGAGAGGATATGAAAATGGGGCGTATCTAAGAGCTCTATGACATCAAGCGGAAGGATTTTAGTTTTATAACGAGCTGCTTTTTGTTTTTAATAGCTATGCTGGAGATGAGGGGATCTGAAGAGTCCATGCAATACATCCGTCATATTATTTATCCATGAAGTGTGTCAAGCATGCAGTAACTGGTTGTAACTTGTCAAATTTGTTTGGCTTCCCCAAGGCAGCCTACCGGCATCACTGATGAAGGCATTATTTTTGATCTAGGAACTAAAATTTTAATTTTCGTATTAATTTCACTTATATTTTCGTTTGTAAGCGAGTACTCCGTCAATTGGTCAGTTTGACAGTACGATTGTGTTGTGACCGCTGTCAATCCATACGTCCAGTAGCGTTGTATGTGTTCTGTCAGTTGATCTACAAATTTAAAGTAGCGCAAGAGCCGCAAAAAGCCGCAAACAGGATTATTACTAACTTTTAATACATACTTTCTACTTTATTTTAACCAACATTTCATATCGCAGAAACACGCAGAAGGTAACGTTCTACTCTACAGATTATTAACACGTTGCACTGAATTTCTATCTTTTTGGACAATACAAAACAATATAAATATATAACATTAGGAAATTTTTTACACACATTTTTTCTTTGTTATTTATTCTACATACTCTGGGGCTTAAAATCCAATTTACACAATAGTTAATTTTTGCAAATTGTGAATTTTTCTTCAGGTATCAGATAACTGATCACCTGACTTTGAAGCTTGATCACAATGACAGGGTTGCATTTTAAGCAAAAACATTTATTGATTTTGTCATATATAGGGAATCTACTTTAAATATATTGGAATAGAACTTTAAATTGAATTGAACCACTCTCTGCTCTCTATTCATTCTATCTTCGTTTAACTCAAAAATAAGTATCAAATGAACACTGTTTATGTTAGGCAGAGAGACAGACGGAGAGATAGACTGTGAGACAGACAGGGAGACAAATATACACACTTAAGGCTACATGACTTCACTCGCAATTTCAATTTTTGTCAGCTGCTGGGTATATATACATTAAATGAATACGAAGATTTTGTAATTTACAGATTTTGGATACCACTCCCCCTTCGCCACCAATTTGTAGGGTATCTCCTAGTCGAGCAGTCTCGACTGGAGCCTTCATACTTGTTATACATTGAACCCTGAACATTGAAAATGGAAAATCAGGGTATAATGGTTTTGTGAAAAATATGTAACAGGCAGAAGGAATCATCGCAGATCCCATAAATTATATACATATATTCTTGATCAAAGCGACGAGCTGAGTCGATATAGCCCTGTCCATCTGTCCGTCCGTCCGTATGAACGCCTAGATCTTAGAAGTTATTAGAGCTAGAGTCTAGAAATTTGGCATGCATACTCGCGTATACCATACGCAGTACAAGTTTATTATATTTTTTCGATAACTCATCCGATAATTTTGTTTATTCAGCCCCATTTCAACACCTATAGACCTGGACTCTTCTGATTGATTGTGTATATATATTTAATGTCATTTACAGATTTTGGATACCACGCCCCCCTCTGCTGCCAAATTAAAAAAAAAAAAAACGTATTTCAAGTACTAGAGACGTGTGCTTTGGAATGTACCATATGATAACCATATAACACCCTCTGAAAGTTTCACCTCTACCTCTGATTTATAAAGTGCTAAAATTTTTCCGATCCGTCTATTAGGGGCGTGGCAAATCGGAAAATGCATTTTCCAATATGCCAGAAATTATATTAGCTGAAGAGCTAGAAAAACCCAATCTCATGAGCTATGGCAGATATATCTACACCCATTAGGGGCGTGGCAAATCGGATAAAACTGTATCTCCTAGAGTTTTCAAGCTAGAAAATTTTGCATGTGAGCTAATGTTGTGATTCTATAAATATTAATAAAACAAGTAAGAATGCTATAGTTGAGACTGCTCGACTACGAGATCCCCTGAACCCTTGGAGCAATAGCTACTTCAATAATTTTTCGCGTACACACACACACGCATACACACACAAACGCATACACACACACACATACACACACAAGCACCCACGGATAAACACGCATGGGCTGCAGTGTGCGCTTACTATGAGAACTTAATTGTTTAATAACTTTTGTGTGCTGTAAACCATGAACCCATTTTCAAAGGGAAATCAGGGTATAATGGATTTGTTGAAATGTATGTAACAGGCAGAAGGAGGCGTGGCAGACCCCACAAAGTATATATATTCTTGATCAGGGCGACGAGCTAAGTTGATTTGGCCCTGTCCGTCTGTCTGTCCGTCCGTCTGTCCATCTGTCCGTCCGTATGTATGAACGCGTCGATTTTTCTAAGATATAAGAGCTAGAGATGTAAAATGTCCGTAAATACAGCGCGGATATCAAGTTTATCATTAAAAATCGATAACTCATCCCGATCTTTTTTATCGATAAAAAACCTTATCGAAAACCAGTTATAAAATTATATCTCCTACACCTTTATTGCTAGAGTCTCCAAATTTTGTATGTATGCTTATATGCAATTTATGCAATTTCGGTTTTTGTTAAATTTACCCCTATATCCACCCACTCACCAACATGTTTGTAAAAAGCGTATTTCAAATACTAGAGACTTGTGCTTTGGCAAATACATGCATATCCATGTTGTAATCATAATCTGAAAGTTTCATGAAGATCGTATGTCCACAAAAAAACAATTAAGTTCTCATAGTAAGCGCGCACTGACATAAACAGCAATTTTTTCTGTTCCTCCGAATCTCAGTTCCTCGAAGAGTTCAGAGCATCTCGTATTCGAGCTGTCTCGAGCTGCAGATTCTATATAACATTTTAATTTCTCTATAAGCTCAATAATTTTTATGGTCACAGAATGAATGAATACTTTTCTAAAGAGTTGTTATATTTATATTACACTCATTATATTAATTAATTTTAAATATTTACATTTGGAAGAGGAAATCCATCCAAGTGCCAAACAATTTTAGGCGTCGGGTTACCACTTGCGCTGCATTTAAGCGAAACAGAAGGTCCAGGCTGCATAGTTTGCTCTATAAACTTATAAAGTAATTGAGGTGCCACTTCTGCAAACAAAATTACATAATTAGAACATATGCCATCGAAAGTATTATGATATTTATTTCATATTTCATATATAGGAAAATTCGAATGAATGTGTCAAAGAAAAACATATTGTATATTCTAAAGTTCTGTGAAAAATGAGTCGCACTGTGAGCATAGATCACAAATACCTAATAACCGTTTATTCTTTAAAGGAAAATAAAAGCTCTCTTCCTGAGCTGGAGTCTTCGGTTCTTTTTGGTCTTTTTTTCCGTTGAGCGCTTTGAGTTGTCTTATTTGTCTGATTTACGAACATAATTTATGGAGAGATACGACTTTCGTTCGTAGAATGAGACTCAGAAAGTAGGCAAATGGCTCAAAAACTCAATGCAATTGGCCTTCACGGTCACAAACAGTAAACACATTCCATCAATTTGTAATGTATATCTAATTATTAGGGCTGTTGAAAATATATCAAAATATCAACATACCGAAATTTTTTTGTATAAAAAATATATCTACATCGGAATATTTGTTTACCCAAGTATCGAATATTTTTATACTCATTCACAAAAGTGAATCAGTATATTGGTTTTGTGCAATGTCCGTCTTGCTGTCCGTCCGTCTGTCCGTATGAACGCAATCTATTTCGGCGCTATTGAAGCTAGAGGCTTGAAATTTGGAACACATACTCGTGTATATCTCCGATTTATAAAGTGTTAAAATTTTCCCGATCCGTCCACTAGGGGCGTGGCAAATCGGAAAATACATTTTCCGATATACCAGAAATCATGTTACTTTACGGAGCTAGAAAGCTGAAATTTGGTATGTAGGTCCGCGTTGACCACCCAAGATCACGAGCTATGGCGGATATATCTCCGCTGATTGGGGGCGTGGCAAATCGGATAAAACTGTATCTCCTAAAGTTGTAAACCTAGAACGCTGAAATTTTGCACGTCAGCTAATGTTATGATTATATAAAGTCTAAAGATCACAATGACAGGGTTGCATTTTAAGCAAAAACATTTATTGATTTTGTCATATATAGGGAATCTACTTTAAATATATTGGAATAGAATTTTAAATTGAATTGAACCACTCTCTGCTCTCTATTCATTCTATCTTCGTTTAACTCAAAAATAAGTATCAAATGAACACTGTTTATGTTAGGCAGAGAGACAGACGGAGAGATAGACTGTGAGACAGACAGGGAGACAAATATACACACTTAAGGCTACATGACTTCACTCGCAATTTCAATTTTTGTCAGCTGCTGGGTATATATACATTAAATGAATACGAAGATTTTGTAATTTACAGATTTTGGATACCACTCCCCCTTCGCCACCAATTTGTAGGGTATCTCCTAGTCGAGCAGTCTCGACTGGAGCCTTCATACTTGTTATACATTGAACCCTGAACATTGAAAATGGAAAATCAGGGTATAATGGTTTTGTGAAAAATATGTAACAGGCAGAAGGAATCATCGCAGATCCCATAAATTATATACATATATTCTTGATCAAAGCGACGAGCTGAGTCGATATAGCCCTGTCCATCTGTCCGTCCGTCCGTATGAACGCCTAGATCTTAGAAGTTATTAGAGCTAGAGTCTAGAAATTTGGCATGCATACTCGCGTATACCATACGCAGTACAAGTTTATTATATTTTTTCGATAACTCATCCGATAATTTTGTTTATTCAGCCCCATTTCAACACCTATAGACCTGGACTCTTCTGATTGATTGTGTATATATATTTAATGTCATTTACAGATTTTGGATACCACGCCCCCCTCTGCTGCCAAATTAAAAAAAAAAAAAACGTATTTCAAGTACTAGAGACGTGTGCTTTGGAATGTACCATATGATAACCATATAACACCCTCTGAAAGTTTCACCTCCGCGTTGACCACCCAAGATCACGAGCTATGGCGGATATATCTCCGCTGATTGGGGGCGTGGCAAATCGGATAAAACTGTATCTCCTAAAGTTGTAAACCTAGAACGCTGAAATTTTGCACGTCAGCTAATGTTATGATTATATAAAGTCTAAAGACAAAATTATAAGTCTACGCCTATTAGGGGCGTGGCAAATCAGACCTGAAGATTTAGTGATTTTTTATATTCCTCAAACTTTGTATATATACTCGGGCAATCACCCAAGACCAAAAAGTTTTGTCGGATATATGTCCGCCCACAGGGGGCGTGGCAAACCGCAAAAGTTTATATCTCCTAAAGTATAATAGCTAGAAGCTTCAAATTTAGACAGTTAAGTTACCGGTAACCTCCTCTATCGATGACCCAAAAATAATTTTTACGCCTCTTTAGGGGCGTGGCATAACGAAAAATACCCTGTAATTTTCACATTTTTTGAGGGTATTTTTATAAACTTAAAATATTATCGATACGATATTTTAAAAATATTCGACAGCCCTACTGATAATGCATGAAAGGACATATAAGAATAATACATACACATAATGATTTTAAGACCCGTCTGCTTTATAGCAAATATTTTTTTTGGAAATAAAACCTACCGTAAAAATGTGCCTTAGATGTTCCATATTTTGTATGTAAAATTTTGCTACTAGTACTTCGTCTGTCAAATACATACCTCCCAATCTTAGCTCGGCAGAACATTGACTTGACTCCAGATCGTTCTTTAAAATACATTGATACATTCCCTTATCTTCTTTGACGATAGATGTAATGCGTATATGCTCCGTTGACAGATGACGAACACGAGCCCCAGAACGTAGTGTTTTGCCATCCTTAAACCACAAAACTTGTTGTTTCGGAAATCCAGACGTACTGCAAATCTTTAAATTAAAGAAATTTTTTTGTTTATATGCACCTCAAAATACACCACAATGAAGTCACTTTACTCACTAAATCAGCCGTTTGTCCAAGATTTACAGTTTGCACTCTAGGCTGTAGGATTGCACTTAAGGGCGATGATACAGACAATTTGACTTCTAAAGTTTCACTACCCTCTGAGTTAGTAACTGTACAATAGAATACCCCATCGTCGGATTTTGTGATGGCCGATATAATAAGAGTTCCATCTTTGATTTTGGCACGCCCAGTCGCAATCATATGCTGCATAGACTCTTCATTGCTTGAACGTGTAATATGCCACCTTAAATATAAAATATTTACTTTTCTTTAAGGTAAATAAAAAGATCTGGTAAAGAATTCAATTTTATTTATGTAGATATATATTTACTATTCAATTCCTTAAAACAGGAGGGGAGGGCGAATATTCATCCGAGCAAAATTGAATTGAGTGGGAGTGCGGGTTAATGAGTCGAGTAAATGAGTTGCTATGTTCACGTACAGGCACAAAAATGCTCATACATGTTGCAAGGATTTACTCTTCAGTCAGTTGGGAAGAAATATTTCTGCACCACAGAAAGAGCACGAGAGAAGAACAGAGTAAGCTAAAAAGTCCGTTTTAAGTCTTCATTCATTTCAGCTAATTTTCCTGCAAGCAAATCAAACTCACTCAATATGATTTATACCCTTCACACACTCATGCGACGTCCTTGTCCTTGAAAGACTGGTCTTATATTTTTATATATTTATCACCGACTATAAACATTATCGGAAAAACCTTGTAGAATAATAGTTATAAAATTATATCACCACTCTGTAAAAATTTAGATACTCGTACTGTGTATAGCATACATTAAAATTCGCAATTAGAAATGGCAAGGGCTTAGCTTTTTTATAGTTTTGTGATTTGTCGAAATTTTTATTATCACATATCCACAAAATCAAAGAGTAGTTTAGCTCAAACAAAAAATATTTATTGTATTCTATATATTTTATATATTATTCCCTTTATTATTATCTAACGTTGGATTTTATATAAAAGTAAAACTAATTTAAGCACTGGCTTTAATATAAGAATTGCGAATTTACATGAATAATTAAAAAATGTATGCATATACATACATACATATGTATATGTTTAACTGTCATTACAATGTTTTTGCATTTGTATGGGAATCACAAATGTGAACGAAATAAAAGAAAAATTTAACCACTCTTATGTATGCATATACATATGTATGTACATGCATACATACATAAATACGTATCTATATCTTATATGTACATAAATATAAACATAGATTTGGTAATGAACGAAAAGTATAAGACTGGCAATACAGTGAAGTTTTAGGTACACACATACATATGTATGTATGTACATTTGTATGTGCTTGCAAAAGTCCATGGATTTATTTTTATGCTTACTCCCTTACATGGCTGCTACACATACATACATATGTATGTACATATATGTAGGTGCTTGTACATGCAACTGAAAGTCTATATTCGTAAATGAACACACATGCATGTATATATGTATGTATGTATATATATACATATGCAGTCACACACCACAAAGTCACAGGCCAAAGAAAAACATCATGTAGAAAAACTCAAGAGGAGAACATCGCAAATAAAACAAAGCAAACCCTCACGTCGTTGACGACTCGTCCTGGGCTAAACGTTTGGTCATACATTTGTACTTGTGTATGCTTACAAGTACACATACTAATGCATGCACTATATACTGGCATGCATGCATATTTCGTACATACATATATACACATGAATGTACATGCAAACATATGCAGACACATATGAATGTGTATGTATGTATGTATGTATGTAGATACCGAGAAAAACTCCACGTCATTTAAGTGAAGTTGCCAGAGCCGAGAGACAGACTTACCCTAACGAGGAACGTGGGAGCATGGGAGCATGGGTGCATGGAAGCATGAGGAGATGATGCCAGAGCGACACAGACCAGAATAATTGTGGAAAGGATGTATTGAAACAAATTTAGTTGATACACTGAAGTGCATTCAGTTGAAGCATTTAATAGATGGCGAAGGGAAAGTACAGTAACACTGTAAATCACGCTTCAAAACAGATTTTTTATTTTAAAGAATTATTAATTAAACTAACTTTACTATATAAAAGTGGGGATCTTTTCTGTATCATGGTAGTTTTATAAGTATATACACATGTACAGTGGCTCAAACGCCAAATCGGACAAGACTATTTATTTACTTCAATGTGTATTTTCTTTAGCAGTAAGTTAACTTTTTACCGTTTTCACATTTTTTAAAAGATATATTATGTATTAGCCCCCTAAAACAAAACAAAAAAAATTTTATTTCAAATGGCAACATTTTTTTTATTTTAAAAAACGAACAACAATTCCGATTTTAAGCTTCAACGCCAAATTGGACAAAAGAAAAAATTTTCGTTTTTGTTTTGTTTATTGCATTTCGTTATGTTCTCAAGCTCATAAGCGTACAGTAACACAAATTATTTTTGCGAAATGGCTCCACGTGGGAAGCAAACTGGTGTTGAGGCACGCCAAATAATATTAAAACTGCATCTTGATGGCAAAACTGTTAGGGAAATAGCAGAGCTGGTCGGAAGAAGCAAACCTACCGTCCATGATATCATAAAAAGGTTTCGGGAAGAAAAAGCCTTATATTAGACCTAAAAGAACAAGGCGTTTAGGGTAAAATTCGCTAAAGAGTACTTGCTAAAAACGGATGACTTTTGGAATCATGTTAGTTGGTTGTATATCATATTAAATACCTTTCTTTTTTTTTATTAATTATCTTATTTAAAGGTGTTGTTTACTGATGAAAGTAAATTTAATTTTCATGAGTCCGATGGTAAGGTGTATGTGTGGCGTAAACCAAATACTGGGCCCAAGAACACCATAGGCACTGTTAAGCTTGGAAGAGGTTCAGTCATGGTTTGGGGCTGTATGTCGAGTGCGGGAGTTGGCCATTCGCACTTTATTGATGGCATACTCGATAGATTTGGCTACCTTGATATTTTGAAAAAAAATGTTAAGCAGAGTGCGGAGAAATTGGGAATACTTGAAGACTTTGCTTTCTATCAAGACAACGACCCCAAGCACACTTCTATGCTAGCTAGGCTCTGGCTAATCCATAATTGTCCCAAATTGATTCAAACGCCTGCCCAGTGCCCGGATATAAACGTAATAGAAAATCTGTGGGAAATTTTGGCGAGGAAAGTTTACCAAAACCGGTATAACAATCTGGACCAATTGAAAAAGGGATTACTTGCAGCTTGGAACTCCATAGAGCCAGAGATCTGCAAAAAGTTGGTGAAACCAGTTCCCAATCGCTTGCAGGCTGTTGTCGCAAACAAAGGTTTTGCAACAAAATATTAAATATTACGTTTTTCTCTTATTTTTCATTTAAGTTTTCTATTGTCCGATTTGGCGTTGAAGCTTAAAATCGGACTTGTTCGTTTTTTAAAATAAAAAAAATGTTGCCATTTAAAATTAAATTTTTATTTTTTTTTTTTTTAGGGGGCTAATACATAAAGATTTAAGAAAAAATGTGAAAGCGGTAAAAAGTTAACTTACTGCTAAAGAAAATACTTATTGAAATAAATAAATAGTCTTGTCCGATTTGGCGTTGGTGCCACTGTATGTGCATGCTTGATCAGGACAACGAATTGATAATAAATAACTATTTCAATGCTTTAAATTCAGTTTAGAAATTGCATGGTAGTGTTCGTAAAGTTTCACGTTTCCGAGGAAGTAGGCTCAATGCGATATCGGGACTATAAAAGCTCACACTTGCCGGAGCGTAGAGTATTTACTAACCGAACACTCCTGATTAGATATTTCTTGTACTAAATTGAAGAAGACTTAATATATACCCGGAGATATTTATATATCTATATACATAAATAAAACAAAGTCGGATTTGCTCAAACACTTATAGCTCGAGATCTGCTGGACCAATTTTCATGATTTGTTGGATTTGTCTCCGCCCCGAATAGCAGAATATATCTTAAAAACACTGAAAAATTGACGAATACTTGAAAAATGCGTTATTTTCGTATTGCTATTGAGGATCTTTGCATTGTCATTGAGAATTTACTCAGTAGGCTTGATAACAGTTTATTTATTATTAATACGCGAACGTGATTAATAAATATACGTGTTTTATTAGTATAAAAGGTAAGGCAAATAATGAGCAATCGAATACAATATTACGTTACGGTTTAACGTGATTAATAAATATACGTGTTTTATTAGTATAAAAGGTAAGGCAAATAATCTAATACAATATTACGTTACTGGTTATCACCAAACAGTTTTTCAACTTGATTAATTTATGTTTGATTAGCAGATAACAATGCCACGAAAACGCAAGGGGCTAATTAAAGTCGTCTAATACTCAAATCTAGACGCATGCAAGATAGAGAGATAGAAGAGCAGAAAGATCACATGGAGAAAGGCAAAAAAGCAATGCAGATGTTCGCGTAAGCATGGCGCAGTTCCGTGCATCACAATTGCAAGAGGCACGAGATGATCGAAACCAGCAAAGACAATTAGAACGAAGAGAAGCGCGCAGATTCGTAGTCAACAGCCGTAGAGGAATTGACCGACAACATCAACAAGTACTTCGAGCATTAACATCACATTCATTTCTTCACCTAGCATTTCAGTATGAGCCTGATGTTGAATATTACGCTCATTCCAAAGTGGTCATTAGCACTGCCATGCCTTTATATTTAAAAATGAGCCGATCGGGATGTGTTGCTCATCAGGAAAAGTAATACTCCTAGAAATTGAAACACCGCCGGAACCATTGCACAACTTCCTTATTGGTTCTGATCCAGATTCTTCGCTGTTCTTGCAGTCAATTCGAAAATTCAATTCATGCTTTCAAATGACATCGTTTGGAGCAACGGAAATAGTTAAAAATACTGCTGCAAATGGCCAACAATTTAATTCCAATTCCAAAGGCCAAGTTTACCACAAATTCGGTTCATTGCTACCAATGCCAAACAGACTTTATAAATTTTTACAAATTTACTTTATGGGGGCGAGGACTCGGAACGCGCACTCGCCAATCCCGTAAATGCACGTTGCAACTATAATCACCTCAATTCACCTCTTGCAACGTGCATCGTCAGCGAACTAGACGCTCTGTTAATTGAGCACAATGAATGAATGTGCATTCCATTGCGCTGAGAGATTAATCTGAATTTTCTTTTAAATGTCATTATTATTAGTAAAAAAATAAAGCATACTTCGGTTGTTTACAACGCTTTCGATTATAACCGCATCCCACACTTATAGAATTAGTTATTTTGTATTTAGGTACAAAATATTCCCTAGAAATAATGGATAGGGCAAAGCAACGTCAGCTAGTATAATATAAACAATGCCGAGCCCCCAAAATTATCTCTAGCTCATCGATGGAGAGGTTAACAGTAACCAAATATATATGTTGTTAAGATTAAGAGAGTATATATAGAGAGAGAGAGAGAGTATATATAGTATATAGATTCTGAAATTTAAGAGCTAAATTGTGTACAGAAAATTTATATATATATATTTCATTTCATTTTTGACATCATAGATTGTATTACCTGTAAGTTGGTTTTGGATTTGCATAGGCCACACATGCTAAAACTAATGGATCCCCAACTCTGGCCAATAGAGACATTTTTTTTTCATTCATTATTGGGGGAACAAGTTCTCGCATTTCTAAAAAAGAAGGAAGAATAATATAACTCAATTAAAATCTTTAAAATCATACATAAGTACATATGAATCACAAGCACATAAGAATAGACTTTGTTGATCAGCTAGGAATTGTCAGATAATTGGTAAAGTTGGTACATACATATATTTAATACTAATCTGTATAAAACAAATCATAAATACCATACAAAATTTAGCTATTTTCCCCCAACTCTGGCGTTTTACAAACAAAGAGCATAGAAACAATTTTTAAAGAGCAGGCTTTACTTTGCTACAAAAAATTTCTCAATATATCAAATTTTCTAATAAGTTTAATTAGAAGTTTAATGCTCAACAGTTTATATTAACATTAAATTAAAATAATACTCATGTTTACCGCTTTGACCATGAAATTCGTGTACATACATGCATATGTGTGTTCTCTATTCTTGTTACCCATGTTTAATTCAGGGCATGAAATGTACATATATTAGATAATATCGCTAGACCCACCTGTTAACTGAATTTTGCCAACATTACTGCTGACTTTTGAGTCCTGCGTTAATTTGTGATGTGTTCGACAGCGGTAAATCTTTTGGGAATCATCTCTTGTTATATTATATAGTAAAAGTTCACCAGTTGGTAGCATGTGATTTTTACCGTCTTCATTGAAGCAACATTAAATTACAGATTAAATCTGTGAAAGACATAGGTACAATAATTGTCCTTTAGAATGCACTTACCTCCTTCTAGAGATGGATAAATATTAAAGTTTGGTTCTTGCAACCAGGAAGTTACTGTTACGTATTCCTTGACGAACGACGGAATGTTACATTTAATAAGAACATTACTGCCAATAAATCCACCAGGATTTTGCACTTCAGGCTCATAATGCTGATAGACCACTACAAAATCAAAAATAAATATATATGTTACAATTTGCCTCTGGCGACCATTTAATACTCATTCACGCTCAAATTGATAGAGATATAGTCCTACCCGAAATCAAGGGACATATACATGCAAAGCCTCCAAAATCTTATCTAAATACTTTTACCTTATATTTCTCAAATTGTACCTAGCCATTTACTTTTGTATTTAAAACATTTTTTTTTCAGTTTGTGCTCAGATTGCAACATGAGAATTGCAACACGAGCAACTCGATTGGATAATTTTAGTCAAATATGAGAGCTGTCGACTCATGCTCTGTTTTCCATACAAATTTGGATTTTTTTGGACTTATGTAAATAAATATAGTGGTTCTGTAAGAAACTTTTAATATGATGCTAAGCATCTTGAAATTATATTAGAATTAAAGAATCAACAAAATAAAAACCGTTTAATATTGAAATAAAAAATAATTATTCTTGTTTTTTTGGGACGGATTATAAATTTATTGTTGGCAAAAAGTTTTTTTTTAATATCGAAGAATATTGACAATCGAACTTTAAAATATCATCGATACGATATTTTAAAATTATTCGACAGCCCGATCGTCATCCCAATTAAAATGGTACAGGCAAAAGGAGTGTCAGAATATAGAATTTCAGTTCTTGTTATTATACCTTCTTGTTACACTCCACCAGTGTATTATATAGTCCATGTGCAGGAATAGATCACACACTACAGCGTGCTTAAGCATAGGTGTGCATATGGGTATGTGTGTACCTGTTTGTCTCTTGTGAACGCAGAAAATTAGCAAATAATATTTGAAATATCATAAAAAAAGAATATTAAATTATATAGCAAGTCACAGTGGAAGAGGAAGCGCATCCATTTCACACTTTTACTGTGCTTCTTTTGACAAAATGACGTGAGTATAATTAAATAGCTTTTTAGATCTGTACGATACGAATGCTATTTTAAGACCAATAGTCAATTTTCTATTTTGGGTGGATACATAAAGTCTCGTGACTCTAGTCTCTTAAGCGTACGAGTTGTGGTCAAATAACTGACATTTTACGCCCTCCTTTAATATATTTAAGGCATATAATTGTAAGATAATATGTACTTAACGAAAAGAAAATGTTGTATACGTTATTCCTATTGGGATTTCGGAAGGGAGAAAAACCAGAAGGAATAAAATTCTAGTTTATTGGACAAAAAAGCAAAAAAGCACAAACCTGCTTTTACAACCACATCCCTGGATATTATAGTACCCACGCTGTTGGATGCTGAGCAACGATATATCGCCCAGTGAACATCTTGTCGAAATTCCTCTGCTGCAAATGGTGGAAAATGTAGTGAACCATTTGTGAAAATATGTTGAACCTGGAATATACAAAATTTAATATAATATTAGCTTTTAAGTAAATAAGCTTTTTAATATTTCAACATATCTATACTCTATGGGCTATTTTGTATTCCATTTTTATCTGAACCCTTTTAAAATTGGAAATCAGGGTATAATGATTTTGTGAAAAGTATGTAGCGGGCAGAAGAAATCATCGCAGAGTCGATATAAGATATAAGAGCTAGAGACGTGATAGTTGGCATGCATACTCGTGTATACCGTACGCAGCAAAAGATTATCATATATTTTCAATAACTAATCCGATAACTTTTTTTTCAAAAATAATCGTAAAATTTATTTTGTTTTTCAACCTAATTTAAACACTTCGACCTGGAGACTTCATATTTACTGTGTATATACATATGATGAATACAAAGATTTTGTAATTTACAGATTTTGGATACCACGCCCCCTTCGCCCACAATTTGTAAAAAACGTATTTCAAATACTCGAGACTTGTGCTTTATAACCATTTTAGCCATATAATCACGCTCTGAAAGTTTGATTAAGATTGTCCATCTACAAAAGAAATGATTCAACAACTAAATTATCATAATATTGCCCACACTGCAGCGCAGGCAAGCGCAGTCGCTGCTTACAGCGCTGTTAGCAGAGCGCATTGTTATAGTGCGTCTGGATGCATGTGTATGTATGTTTGCATAAAAGAAACGCAAAATGATTAGAATATCAGCTTGGCGGGTTCAGGGTATCTCCTAGTCGAGCAGTCTCAACTAGAGCACTCTTACTTATTAAAACAAATTTATAAATGCATTTAAATTTACATAAACAGAATTTTAATCATGCATAGTTAATAATATACTAATATAATATATATATATATACATATATATAATAATATAATAATAATAATATAATATATAATAATATAATAAAAGTACATTAAAGAAAAGTACATCACGAAAGCTTGGAAATATTTGTTAGTCTATTTTTCAGTTTCTCATTAAACTTTACAATATGTGTCGTAGATCACTAATATACAACATTATATTATCAAAAAAGCAATGCCCCAAATGCAGCATGAAGCCAATGTCAAAGAAGTTTGATGAGGCCGTGAATATATATTCACCGAATGGACATTTGATACAAGTAGAATACGCTGAAGCGGCAGTACGAAAGGCTTCCACAGTAGTAAGTGCTAAGAATCATTAAAAATAAAGATGGTTCGCATAGTAGAAATAGTTTTCTTGTATGTTTTGCGTTTTTATTACTTTGTCGTACAGGTGGGCCTTTGCACTCAGGAATGCATTATTTTAGGTGCAGAAAAAAGGGCCATAGATGTGCTACAACTCCAAAGAACATCTTATAAAATAAAAAAAATAGATGAGCATATTGCAATGACTTTTGCGGGTCTTACAGCCGACGCTCGAATTCTAGCAAGTCGTGCACAGATGGAGGCTCAAAGTCATCGCTTAAACTTTAATAGTCCCGCAAATGTGGAACATATAGCAAGGTCTGATTAAAATACGATTTACCAGATGTATAGTTTTTGTTTCTATAGATCTATAGATTTTTATTCTGTAGATTTTTAGCGAAATTAAAGCAAAACTATACGCAATGTTTTGGCCGGCGTCCGTTCGGTGTAGCCTGCTTGGTTGGGGGCTTTGACTGTGATGGCAAGCCCCATCTATTCCAAACTGATCCCTCAGGCATCTATTACGAATGGATGGCTAATACAACAGGTCGCATGGCCCAAACAGTAAATGAGTACCTAACAAAGAATTTATCTGCTATTTCCACCATCCCAGACACACTTTCAGCCATGAAGCACGTGGTAAGAGCCTTGCAAACGGCAACGTCTTCAGATGTCAGTTTCTTTGATATAGCTGTGCTCAAGTACAAACAGCCAATTGAAATTGTTAGTATGGATAAGATAAAGTATCTGACAGAATTAATAAAGCAGGAGACTGTGGGATATACGACTAGAAGACACTTCGGATTTATTTAAATAATACTTTTCTCCTTTGAAAACCTATTTCACACTTTATCACACAATTAATGCTTAAATTTGTACCAACAAGCTGGACAACTTAAACAAACTTCTCCATAAAGAAATTTATAACACAAAAATATATTTAAAAAAAAAACTCTGCTGGAATGTTTGATTTAGCAAATGCAATCAAATGGCTTAAAGGCTGAAGTCGCAGGATCAGGATAGTTTGCTTATGATTTCAACTATGAAGAATGCTAAGTAATTCTCGATAAATGAAAGACAGTAGGTGCCGAAGCTTCAGCAGACTTGCTGGTTTACATAAAAATGTGGAAGAAGACAAGAGCTAAGTCCAAAATATTAACTCTAGAAAATTTCCACTGTGCAGTCACCATGAAAATACAAGATTCAATATGTTATTATGAAAAGCCTTAGTCTCAATCGAGAATACATCGATATGCTCCCCAGAGTTTCTATACCGGATTTATTAAAGGGTTATCTTAAAGCAAATATGACATAAAATAAATATAGACATAGATATTTGGATCATACCTTTGATATGGATGTGATTGGATTGTTTTCCTTATCGAGCCACTGGACTATTGGAACAGGATTTCCATGAGCAATACAAGAGACTGTGTTTCCAACCGTGTTTAAAAACTCGATTCTACTAGGGGGCTCCAGTGAAAAGCTCGGACCTTGCGTATCAAAGTAATTTGATACTTCTGAAATTAAATTTAAATGAAAAAAAAAATATATATATATATATATATATATATATATATATTTATTTATTTATTTATTTATTTATTTATATATACATAGTGATATATATTAACCAATAACATTAAGATAGATGTGGATAATATGGAGCGAGATAAGCGAGAAAGCTCTACATGCAGATTTACATGTAATCACTTAAAACATGTCAGAATTCAAGCGAAGCGAGAAGAGAGCCAAAGCGTGTTGCGAAAAAGCTTGATAAAGCTGTTCTGATACGTGTGTTTTTTTTTTGCGTTCTGAGCTTAAATAACCGTTGGTTAGTCGGGGAAGTATATTCCTTTTCGCAATTCAAGCAATATTTCTTTCTTTCACTCTGACATGATATCGCTTTGCAGATCGCTGTGATAATTATCGCTTATAGCATCGCATCGCTTATCGCGGCCACTCTGACATCAGGCTTACTATAAAATATAGGGTTGTCGGAAATACAGTGTGCCACTAAAGTCACCGCACTCTTGTTGTTCTTGCGCGAATCACCTTGAAATTTGGCCAAATTGTTGTTCAATTAAAAAATTTTAACGCAGGATTATAAACTAATATATTTTCTTCTAAACTAAAAAAGAAAAACAGTGAAATTTTAAACTTAACATAATAATATTAATTTTTTAATTAAAAACACAAGGAACTCCAACCTCTGCGTCAACAAAAGTCTACGTACTCTTACAAACTAATATAAACTTACTAACTATAAGGAACAATCTTTTTAATTAAACTTCAAATTTAATATCTTGTGGGATAACCCTTCATCTTAATCACCTCTCTGAGGCGATTTGGCATTGAAAGTACCAATTTTTCGATATATTTGGGATCTAACGCGCACCACTCCTGGTGTAATGCCTCTCGCAGGCGGTTTTTGTTGCTGATTTGGTGCTTCCTTATTTTTTTCGAGCATATTCCAAACATGCTCGATTGGATTGACATCCGGGCTCTGTGGTGGCGTCTCTAAAAGGTGTGGAATGTTGTACGCGAGATACAACCTAGTATTCATTGCTTTATGTTTTGGGTCATTGTCCTGTTGAAACCAGAAATCAGACCCAATTCCAAGTTTCTCGGCGCTGGTCTTTAAATTTTGTTTTTAAATATCAATGTACACATATTGGTCCATCACTCCGTCGATGAATTCCAAATTTCCGACTCCTGCTGCAGCTATGCAACCCCAAACCATAATACCTCCGCCGCAGTGTTTTACGGTTTTTATTGCATTTTTGGGATTCAATGCTTCTCCTGGTCTCCTCCAGACGCGGAGACGCCCATCTGAGCCAAAAATATTATATTTAGACTCATCTGAGAAGATGACCTTCCGCCAGAAGTCCATTGGCTTGTCCACGTAGGCTTTGGCAAACTCTAAGCGCTTTCTCCTGTTTGTTAAATTTACAAGAGGCTTCTTGCGAGGCGTGTTGGACCTAAAGTTATAGGTTTTAATGGCTCTACGAACTGTTTCCGGGTGAACTTCCTTGTCAATTGTGCGACCCAGCTCTGACGCAATCAGCACTGCGCTACAAAAATTACCCTTGTCCATCAGATGCTTTATTGTGCGCTTGTCACGATTGGATAGTACAGGTGGCCGACCAGATCTCTTGTTGTTTTTGATGCGCCCTTTATATTTGTATCTACCAATGACAGTCTGTATAGTAGACTTGCTTCTGGACATGATTTCTGTTATCTCTGCATACGACTTTTGCTCCTTAGTGTGGAAATGCAAAATCTTTCCACGATCTTCAAGCGATAACTCTTTTCGTGGCATTTTTACTGCAAAACTCAAATATTTTGTCCAGCTCAAGCAAAACACGCCAACTATTAAGAATTTACTCATTATTGCATACATTTTTCGAAAACCCCCGATATTTTTAAGAAGAACGCTGACGCCAGACAGTGCAAGAAAATAAGAGTACGTAGACTTTTGTTGACGCAAATATTTGGGTATGTTTACATTCGCTGTAATATTATGGAACTAAAATAAAAATAAATGTTTTTCTTTTATAGTTTAGAAGAAAATATATTAGCTTTCAATACTGCATTAAAATTTATTTAATATGACAAAAATTTGGCCAAGTTTCTGGGTGATTCACGCTAGTACAAGAGTACGGTGACTTTAGTGGCATACTGTATATCGAAATATGAATGTATCGATATTTTTTTGTTTAAAATAATATTAATATCGGGATTTTTTTTTTTTTTTTTGGCCAAATATTGAATATCACTTGGTTGAATATCACTCTTGTGATAAGTAAACCAAGTGCAAAAGTAAAAAAAAAAGTGGATATGGTGTAAACAAATTATTCGGACTATAAAAATAAGACAGTCAAATATAATTTGTGCCTTAAATTAATAAAAATAAGTGGTAGCACATCAAATATGGCGACGCATATAATAAACAAGCACTGTGCGGAAAAGAGGGAACTTGAGATGTGCCGCAGCTTGCCGCAAACTTCTAGGGAAAGCAATAACAATTTTTGGATTTCAAATAAGGCGGCTATGCCAGGAGTATCGAAGATCGCATTACGATGCCTAACCACCCCTGGTCAGTGCCTTCGGAGCGACTGGCTTCGGGAATAAAATGTATGTATGCAACAGGCAGAAGGAGGCGTGGCAGACCCCACAAAGTATATATATTCTTGATCAGGGCGACGAACTGAGTCGATTTGGCCCTGTCCGTCTGTCTGTCCGTCCGTCCGTATGTATGAACGCGTCGATCTCAGAAGATATAAGAGCTAGAGACTTGAAATTTTTTTCCTGGGTCGTGTATATAACGCGCATATCAAGTTTTTCTTTATATATCGATAACGACTTCCGATATTTTATTATCGATCAAAAACCTTATCGAAAGCTAGTTATTTAATTATATCTCCTACACCTTTAGAGCTAGAGCTTCTAAATTTTAAATGTAGACTTATATGTATTTTATATAACCCCACCCCTATATCCACCTCCTCACCCTCACCTTTGTAAAAGGCGTATTTCAAGTACTAGAGACGTGTGCTTTAGAATGTACACACATTTTCACCATATGATTACGTTTTGAAAGTTTCATTAAGATTGTACGTCTAGAAATTAAATTATTCAACAAATAAATTCTTATAATGTTGTCCACACTACAGCGCAGCCCAAGCGCAGTCGCTGCTTACTGCGCAGTTAGCAGAGCGCGTTCTACTACGTGCGTGTGTATGTATGTGTGTCGAAAAGAAGTGCAGACTGATTAGAATATCAGATTAGAGGGTTCAGGGTATCTCCTAGTCGAGCAGTCTCGACTAGAGTCTTCTTACTTGTTTCACTTTGAACTTTATCGTGAGGAAAAAAATATATGTTCTGCGCACATAAGAATATGTGCTAAGCATTTTAATCTTAATCATTTGTAATTTTTTTCTTCAATATGCTCATGCAAAATATTTACACTTAATACTTTTCATAAAAGGAATTACATCTACTTTATGCCTTTTTTCGACATAACGATTTAAGAATTTTATCTTCATCTGTGTTTTAATAAAGCGGAGTACTCTCCAGCTGCCCTCTACAAATACCTCCTTTTTGTTAAGCTTTCTACCCGCTCCATTAAGCAACCCTTAGGAAAATAAAAGCATCAGTCTACGCTAAATAAAGGGTGGACCTTTCACAACTCTCTGGATTATATCTTGATAAAAGCAATCTATTGAATTTCATCTTGACTAAATAATATCTTAGCTTTCATTTCTCTACAATATCTTTCAAAAGTCTAAAGAATAAGCGATTACAAGCGCTATGAATGCATTTTATATACTTATGTCCATTTAGGCTGGTATATACAGACGTCTCTGTGTGCTGTTGCTATATGTGCGCAAAGGTAATTTATATATAGATTGGTTCAGTTCTTCGCACAGGAATTAGGGTATGTTCTAGTCGACCAGTCTTGTCTATGTGTGTTTACTTGTCTTACCTGTGGCAGTGGTAGAAACACACAAAGTCAATGTAATTAAGAAATAGAAAGATTTCCCTTTCGCTTCAGCTTTCCAATTCATGTTGTCAAGTTTGTCCAATAGCTGAACAGCTATGAAACAGTAATTATTTTTAGAATTTATATTACTTTCCTGAAATTAAAGAACGAAAAGAAAATTCCTTATTAACGATGACCGATGACCGATATTTTTTGATGAAATATAACATGTGAGAGTGCTATAGTCGGCATTTCCCGACTTTCCTGAACTTGTCCCGAGCCATACGATCATACTCCAGGAAAGTATAGAATTATTGGGATATACCTGAATTCCAAATTCATTTTTCATTGGGCTTCAGCTCTGAATCTCAGGCTATGTGCATTGCAATCGGTCATTTTCATAATACTCATAGTAAATTTTTGATGAGCAGAGTAAGAATAATTTTTGTATAATCGATTGAAGTCAACACTAACTTAATTAACATTTTAAGCTATATTTCAGCTTCTAACACTTTTAAAAATATAACCTTTAGTACCATCGGTCATATCTATTTTGATTAAAGATCAATATATATAAAACGTAAACTCAGTTGCAATTCCCAAACTCAAGGTGATCAAATTTAATCAAATCATCACGCCCCCAGCTCAGTAGGTATTCCACATATCTTTTTGATATTGGGATGTCAGTGTAATGTACATCATATACATACATCACATTTAAAGTATCGTTTCAGTATCGATAAAATCTTTTTATTCAACATTATGAAGACTGTGTCCTTAATAGCGGCAAATGATTTGTATTTATACGGACTGTACCGACGTACATGTGGTTTTCATGCACATTTGATCTAAACCAATATACCCTGTTGACCCATTTTTAATTGGTTTTGTGAAAAGCCTAAACTGAATTTGTTGTTGGTTAGAAACACAGGTTTATTGTTTACAAGCAAGAGCGCGATAAGAAACAGAAGTAACAAATCGTAATCATAAATACATAGCTTTAAGGCTCTTTTGCTCTCTTCAATGCGCTGAAGAGAGCAATATTTGAACTGAGACCGTTATAATCATTAGTTATGCATCACATGTGCAATTTGATTATGATAATAATAATTCTTATCAATAGTGTATACAATGATATACGTAGAAATCAATCACTTAACACGTTTGCAAAATATTTTAATTTATACATTTCAACTAGTTCACTTGAGTATAGGTTAGTTAAATTATGTTAATTATCAATATGTCATGCTGCCGGCAAATGAACTACTGTCAGGCTTTTGAGCTTTAAATTTGTGTATTCTATCTTCTTTGCCACATAGACAAGAATTGGGGGTTTTCACAAAAACAAGGCACGAAAAATGTGATACATACGTGGCCATGAATGTGTATGCACAAATGCAAATGTATAGCTTTGATGGAAGGCCTTTCCTTCTATAAACGCAACATTTTTTCAAACTCAGTTTTTCTGCCTTTTTGCGATAGAAAAACATACACTTTTGTGCCTATGAAGGACCGACTCCATGGACACACTCTCGATGACTGGCACAACCGAATGCAGCTTTCACAACGAATTCCCGGAGCAGATGCTGCTAGTACATTGTATGCGCATCATCTGCGCAGATGCTGTTTGCTATCGAGCTTTCGTATAACAATATTAAAGCAAAAGCCCTTAGGACAACTCCTCAAATGTGCTAATCTGATGCTGATAAGCAAATCAGCTGTTTGGTCAGTAAATAAAAATTGCATATGTATGTACATATATTCAAAATATAATTTTACAGACACTTACATATATACACCACATAATTTTATAATTTTTGTAGGTTTTACTGAAATATGTATGTATGTATGTACGTATTTTTTATAATATGTAACGACTGAGACCGATTTAAAAATTTCTTTTTTTAAATCGAAACCTACAAATTTTATTACTCAATAAACAAATAAAATATTACAACTTTTTAATATGATATGTTTCTGATCAGACTCGACTTATTCACATTTATATTCTGTTACCAAAAAAAAAAAGTATGTTTGGCTTTGTCCTATGGAAGCTATGGAAGCTAAAAAATTGAAACTTGGAACAAATCCTCGTGTATACCCTCGTATAATAAGTATCAAGATTTTCCAGATACACCCACTGATACTAGAGATTTCAAATTTGGAGTACAATGCTCAAAATCAAAAATATATGGCAGATACACGAGCGCTCAGAAGGGGCATGGCCATTTGTATCTTCTGGTTGGTTCGCAAGGTTCAAAGGATCTCCGAACAGTCTCAAAAATGGGGAATTACGCAATAATGGTTTGGTAACAGAGAGAAGGGTGCGTGACAGACTGCATAAAATATATATAGTCGAATTCCGAAGATACACTGCGTGTATCCGGTTGGCGGCCCCCCTTACACTCAATCGCAAAGCTGAATAAAAGCTAAACCATCAAAGCTTCATCTGTAAAATTTGTTTGTATTATACTACATCTATTTCACTTTAAAATAAAAAAACAATGGCTACTGTAGCAATAGGGAATAGTTTTTAATAATTTTTTTTGTAAAATGTACAAAAAACATGTAACAAAAATTTGGTCATCAGATTAGCGCCCCCTGCGCTAAATTAAATTTATTGAAGTTAATGACCAAAAACAACACCTGTATTTTAAGCTATTATTATTTTAAGTAATATTAGTAGAGCGTAGTGCCGTTTTTTGTTTGAAATTCAGTACCTTCGATTAACTCTGTCTTTGTACTATAATGCTTTTCGGACTCATATATTTTCCTGACCAACCATTCCCAGACGTTTCCAATGATATTAAGGTCGAGTGAGTATGGTGGCCACTCCATGAGATCAATTTTTTGACCCTGAATCCAGGACTTCAGGGATCGGGCGGTCTGAATTGGAGCATTATCATGCTGGAAAATCTAATGCCGGTTTTCAGACAGGTTATAGAAATGCGGAAGAGCAGTTTTAAACACGATGTTATAGTCCTATGCGTTCATGCGCGATGTCAAAAATTGAAGCTTGCAAGTGCTGCAGTAAAATATTGATACCTACACCAATGCCACCAATTATAGCCATCAGTTCCTTCCAAATTAAATTTTTCTTTTCAGAAAAGACAACATGCTGCCCTTGGATAGACCACGTCATGTTCGCCCGGCCAAAATTAATGCGTATTTCTTTTCTTAGCATATCGACTGATGTCTTTTTTTTATACCCCGAACCCATTTTCAATGGGAAATCAGGGTATAATGGTTTTGTTGAAATGTTTAAATGTCCGTAATTACAGCGCGGATATCAAGTTTATCATTAAAAATCGATAACTCATCCCGATCTTTTCTTATCGATAAAAACCTTATCGAAAACCAGTTATAAAATTATATCTACTACACCTTTATTGATAGACTCCCCAAACTTTTTATATATGTATGCTTATATGCAATTTATGCAATTTCGGTTTTTGTTAAAATTTACCCCCTCATGTTTGTAAGAAAGGTGTTTCAAATACTAGAGACTTGTGCTTTGGCAAATACATGCATATCTATGTTGTAATCATAATCTGAAAGTTTCATGAAGATCGTAAGTCCACAAAAAAAAGTTATTAAGCAATTAAGTTCTCATAGTAAGCGCACACTGCAGCCCATGCGTGTTTATGCGTGGGTGCTTGTGTGTGTATGTGTTTTTGTGGACGTACGATCTTCATGAAACTTTTAGATTATGATAACAACATGGATATGCATGTATTTGCCAAAGCACAAGTCTTGTTTTCAAAATGAGTAGACTTTGTGGCAAAACAAATGCGAAAACTATCAAAATAAAAAGTTGCACATGGGACGAATTATAATTAATATATAAAGTCCAACAAAACGCCACAATTAATGTCGTCAAAGCAACAGTAAACTATCTGCACGCTTCATACAGGCGGGAACTGGAAAAAATAAAAAGAGGCGTAAGGTCAGGGCTTTCTTTTTTTTATACCCTGAACCCATTGAAAATGGAAAATCAGGGAATAATGGTTTTGTTAAAAGTATGTAACAGGCAGAAGGAGGCGTGGCAGACCCCACAAAGTATATATATTCTTGATCAGGGTGACGTGCTGAGTTGATTTGGCCCTGTCCGTCTGTCTGTCCGTCCGTCCGTCCGTATGTATGAACGCGTCGATCTCAGAAGATATAAGAGCTAGAGACTTGAAGTTTTTTTCCTAGGTCCGTGTATATCACGCGCGTATCAAGTTTTTCTTTATATATCGATAACTACTCCCGATATTTTATTATCGATCAAAAACCTTATCGAAAGCTAGTTATTTAATTATATCTCCTACACCTTTAGAGCTAGAGCTTCCAAATTTTAAATGTAGACTTATATGTATTTTATATATTTTCGATTTTTGTTGTAATTTACCTCCCACCCCTATATCCACCCCCTCACCATCACCTTTGTAAAAGGCGTATTTCAAGTACTAGAGACGTGTGCGTTAGAATGTACACACATTTTCACCATATGATTACGTTTTAAAAGTTTCATTAAGATTGTACGTCTAGAAATTAAATTATTCAACAAATAAATTCTTATAATGTTGTCCACACTACAGCGCAGCCCAAGCGCAGTCGCTGCTTACTGCGCAGTTAGCAGAGCGCGTTCTAATACGTGCGTGTGTATGTATGTGTGTCGAAAAGAAGTGCAGACTGATTAGAATATCAGATTAGAGGGTTCAGGGTATCTCCTAGTCGAGCAGTCTCGACTAGAGTCTTCTTACTTGTTTTAAATACACATTCATTGCCATTAAGCTCGGTTTTTTTTTCTTCCGCTGGCATGTACACAGTCCAAAATTTGTTATACTCATTTACGAAAGTGAATTATTATACTCACTCACGAAAGTGAATTAGTATATTGGTTTTGTGCAATGTCCGTCTTGCTGTCCGTCTGTCCGTATGAACGCAATCTATTTCGGCGCTTTTGAAGCTAGAGACTTAAAATTTTGAGCATATACTCGTGTATATCTCCGATTTATAGTGTTAAAATTTTCCCGATCCGCCCACTAAGGGCGTGGCAGGTCGGAAAATGCATTTTCCAATATGCCAGAAATCATGTTAGTTGAAGAGCTAGAAAGCTGAAATTTATATAGTTATTATATAGTGATTTTTTAAATTCTGCTATATTTTGGACACTATTGATACCTGAAATAATTTTTACGCTTCTTTAGGGGCGTGGCTTAATGAAAAATACCCTGTAATTTTTACATTTTTTGAGGGTAAGTATTCAAACTTTGCAGTTAGGGTACCGTTATCACGTTCTAAGAACTGACCAAAAATGAGGTGTCTACGCCCAGTAGGAGTATTAGAGCGAAACTTAACTACTAAATTGTTGATGGGATGTGAATGAGTATTCCGCAGTCGGTAACGCCAACTGCAACGTTCTTACTTGTATTAAAATTATGTTCGCGAACATGTTCGTGAAAATGTTCGCATAGTTAGTAGGCAAGCTCGGCGAACATGTTCGTGTAACAAATTCGTCTGTGGATAGCCCCTTTAAGTTTGTATACCCTGAACCCATTGAAAATGGCATGCATACTCGTGTGTACAATACGCAGTACAAGTTTATCATATTTTTCGATAACTCATCCGATAACTTTATCGAGAAATAGCTGGCCCGGCAAACATTGCATTGCCCTATCCATTATTTCTAGGTAAAAAATTGTTGAATTGTTCAGGTTGGGATACACTCTGATTAATTTATTAATCGGATTTTCATTCAAGCACCTTGTGGTAAACGACATTCTTCGTTTTTTGGTCGGGTGCAAGAACAAATAATGCGGATGGTTTGCCAACACGTGAGCATGCCACGTACAATTGACCATGAGAAAAACACGCATTTTCTAGATTGAGGCCACAAATAGTCAAAGATTGACATATGTCATTGCATCATGCGCATATTCATGCATATGACGCGGGCTACCTGTGTATGTCGCTGGTAAAATAGTCAATCGACCAACATTTTCAAAATCTCCTTCTGTGATTATTGCATCGAGTAAATGAATATACTCTTCCGAACGCAATTTTGCTTGATTCAAACGGATGAAAGTCAGGCGCTCCGTTTCCGTTTTTTCCCGTACATGTCAACGCAGTATTGTTGAAACAGTCGACGAAATCGCAACAAATAATTGTCCGAATTTTCACGAATTATCAAACGATATGCGTAATAATTCATCTACTAACCTTCTTGGCAGTTTCCTTACCTGAAACAAATACAGTAAAAATTGTATTTTAGAACCCCTAATAGGTTTACGACTCTTACAGCTACTCTCTACTAAATTAAGAGTGATAACTTTTTTTGTGTACCAAAAGCAAACAGAATGAAATGTATATAAAGTTAAAATAAAAACAATGATTGATTTTACCATTCAATGGATTAATCATTTCGATATAAAAGTGATATCCATCGTCTCCTTGCCAAAACATCAGCGGGTATTGTAAAGCGTCATATGAACGGTGCGTTTCGGATATTCTTTCTAGTTGCCCAGTACTGAGTCGTGTAAGCACAATATCGCGTGCTTCCAAGC